AAAAAAACCTAGGTCTCCCCCAACAAACGTTTGAGACTAGCTCCCCTAAATCTAAAAGATGGATCAAACTCAGGGAGAGGGGGATTTTTCTGTTTGGCAAGCTAAAATACTTGCCCAGATACAATGAGCATTGTAGAGCAACACTGAATTTCTCACAGTATCTTTTAAGGGCATGTGGCATTGCGTCTTTTGTTTACATCAAAAAACTGATAGCAATATTGTCAACACATAGGACTCGGCTACATTCGTCACAATAATACTTTTTGAATGCATTATAAACATGCAACACCAGATGGCACCAGAGAGCAAAACGGAATTTATATGGATTTTTACATAGGCCTTTTTATCTTTTGTTGTAACGATTTAATTTCTGACTTATTTATAGCATTTTTAACCTGTGTCTAGATCCACCCATAGATGAAATAGTTTCTGACCCAATCGTTTACAGAAATGGATCCAACAGATCTTTACAGAAAGACTGCAGATACACAGTTAATCCAGTTAGGAGCTTTCTAAATGTTAATTCACCATTATGAAGAACAAAAACTATGCTCAGTGTCAGCCTGGCCTTTGGTGATACAGCAAGCTCCTTCTTCAGGTAATTTCTAATTTATTTCTGGGGCATGAAATAATTCATGCCATCAAACTGATTTACCAATTGTCAAAGGCAGCAATAAGAATGAATGGGCATGCCTCTTGATCCATTATAATATACAGAGGAATGGAAGAAGATTGCTCCCCCTTCCCTCTGTTATTTGTTCTAGCTTCGAAGCCACTGGTGGTGGCATTAAGAGCCAACTTTAATAATAAAGTACCATAATACAGTAAAGGGAAAGGAACATTTAATAATTTTATTTGCTGACAATACGGTTGTAATGTTATCTGGTCCCTTGGTGGTTCCCATGTAGTATATAGCGCAAATAGTACAAAAAAGTGGCTAGGATACAAATAAACTAAGCTATAAAAAGAATAAAAAATACTACAGACCTGACAGAAAATGATAGGATTTATATTGAGAGCGGGGCTTGAATCAGAAAGTGCTATTTCTTAAAGGGAGAGGGTGGAAGGGCCATATACATACTTATTGTGAGGCAAACCAGTGGGAGGCAAATTTGGCCTTTGGGTAATAAAGATGAGGAAAACCCCTGGTTGGTACTGAAAAACAATGGTCTAGATGGAATTCCTGTAACAACAGCTTTTTTTCTCATTAAAAACTTGGGGTATGGAACCTAAACTGAGTTTGTAGCCCCTATTAAAAAACCAGAATTTTGGAAATTTAATCAAAGGTCAAATATTTAGTGTCCCCCCCATCTCCACTTACTTCTCTACCATCCACATTTTATGGTAAAAATCAATCCCAAAGTATCTTGTGATAAATCACTATGTAGGCTTTATTATTTTTACAATTAAAATAAGGATGTGAACTTTTAGAAGAACAAGTGCATGACAAGTTAGGTCTTTTATTATAGAAGCTTTCATTAAGCAACAAGCAAGCAGAGAGTTGATTAATGCATCTATGAAGATGGTCTCAGCATGAATCCAAAACCTGCACTAAAAACAATATAGAGATGATGCTATACTCCAGTCCAACTCTCTCTTATATGAACCTCCACTTTTCACCACAGTGATGGTGTTGTAAACAAATTAAATGCTCGTACCTGTATTTGTCCCCTTTGGTTTGTGTGCCATCTACTGGCAGATTTTTGGGATATGGTACTTCAGGAAATCAATTCACTCTTTAGATAGGACCTCATGCCAATACCTTCCCTAGCATTGTTAGGTTTCTGGGATGGATTATATGAAAAATGAATAGATAAAGAGTTGGTTGAGTTTTTCTTGATTGAGGCTCAAATAGTTATTGCTAAAAAAATTGCAATTTGCTTAGCTTAAGAGGTTTAGTTTATCAAATATGGCCTGTTGCTGGGCTTTTTTCAGGGGGAACTCACAGGAACTCAGTTCTGGCTCCTCTCCGGTGAGCACTATTGCCATTCTAAGAGAATGAGGGAGGTGGTCATGGTGAGTTCCGACACCTCTTTTTCTAGAAAAATAGCACTGTCTGTCGCAATGGAAGAAAAATTTGAACCAAGATTAAGACTGAGATACAGTGGTGCCTCGCAAGACGAAATTAATTCGTTCCGCAAGTCTCTTCGTCTTGCGAGTTTTTCGTCTTGCGATGCACGGTTTCCCATAGGAATGCATTGAAAATCAATTAATGCGTTCCTAGGGAAACCGCCTTCAGACCAGGTCCGGGACAGTCTGTCCCCGGACCTCTTCTGAAGGCTGGGGGCAAGGGCTTTTCTTCCCACCCCCAGCATTTTAAAACCCCGGGACAGCGGAGGACTTCTCCGCTGTCCGGGCGATCTTAAAATGCTGGCGGGCGGCATTTTAAAATCACCCCGGGACAGCGGAGGACTTCTCCGCTGTCCGGGGCAATTTAAAAGCCCCTGGGAAGGCAGGCAGGGGACAAGACTTTGCCCTCGCCAGCCTTCAGAAGAGGTCCTGGACCTCTTCTGAAGGCGGGCGGGGGCGAAAGTCTTTGCTCCCCGCCTTCAAAAGCCCTCCGGGACAGGCAGGCAGGGGAGCAAGGACTCTCGCCCCCGCCCGCCTTCAGAAGGTCTTCCTCCCCCCGCCCGGCTCGGAGCACCGCTCCGGCCGGGCGGCGGCGGGAGGTGTTCCCTCCCCGCCCGGCTCGGAGCACCGCTCCGAGCCGGGCAGAGGCGGGAGGTCTTCCCTCCCCCGCCCGGCTCGGAGCACCGTTCCGAGCCGGGCGGCGGCGGCAGGTGTCCCTCCCCCCGCCCGGCTCGGAGGAGCCTTCCGAAGCCCGGCGGCGGCGGGAGGAGGTGTCCCCGCCCCGCCGCCAGGCTTCGGAGGAGGTCCGAGGACAGTGGGGAAGACGCGCTGCGCTTCCCCGCTGTCCCTGAGATTTCCCTATGGGCTGTCGTCTTGCGAAGCAAGCCCAGAGGGAAATTCGTTTATGAAGCGCTTCCAAAACGGAAAACCCTTTCGTCTAGCGGGTTTTCCGTCTTGCGAGGCGTTCGTCTTGCGGGGTACCACTGTAAAGACAAATATAAAGGAATAGAGCTTTATCTTTTTTGTAAATAATGATAATATTCAAACAGTTCCAGCAAAATAGGCTAGTATCCTTTCCCCCCCTTTAGAATTTATAAGGAAATTTTTCCTAGGTAAATATTAAAAAGAGGAATAGTAATATGCCTTTTGACATATGACAGAATGTGCCATCATCAAACCCTCTGTGATTGCTCTCCTACGTAAGTTTGTATTACTTTGTTACAACATCTCTTATGTATGCAGATAGACAGAAAAATAGATATTTATAAAATGTTGGAACACAAATGATAATATGTTCTTTTCTTTTTTGTGTTGTAACTTAATTTTTTCTAACACTGTGTTTTTAAAATGAAAAATAATCACTATTTTTATAAGAACTTCTTTTTTATACCTCAGAAAGTTGACAGTAATATTACACTTCAAAAGCACCTAACATTTTCAAAGCACTGTACAAATATTAAAAGAGTACCTCTGCCCTCCCCCTCCACCACACAACAAAAAGAGTGAAAAAAGGATGGGGAGGGAAGAGGAAACACAAGCAAAGAAGCAGGTGCTTCTTCACTGCCAATGTTGAATTGGATAGGTTGGTCTCCCCTTGTGATTGAAAGCTATGTCAAAGCTATAAAGATCTGAAAGCAATGTTCATGGAATTGATAAAGAGTACAGTATTGGTTATTTCATTTTTTTCCTAATCTTGTTTAAAATTTTAATAATGAAAAACGTATTATTAGTGGGCTTGTGTTTTTGAGTTTGTTTGCCCTTCATTGCATGGAATCAAATATTTGTTTTTTTTGGAATTTGACTATAAATAAACATTCATGTGTGAATATACTTTGAGGGGGTTTGGGGGGGTTCTATGTGATTTCTGCTGATGCTGTGAAGCCCTAGCCTACCATTTGTGTACTTACATGCAGAAAGGCTTCTGCATGCCATTTGGCAAGGGCACACAACACAAGTATCTGATTAATGTGGTTTTGCTTCTGACTGCTAGACCAGATGACTCAGTATACACTTGACGTTTAAAAAAAGAGTCTGCTTGGAAATGCCCTTAAGATGCATAAATCCTCAATTTGTTTATTAAAACTAAGCACTGGCATTACGTTGCTACCATAGTTTTGACTTTTCTGTGCAAACTGGAAATGGCCCAGCACTGCTGCTAAATCTGACAATCAGGGAGTATTTTACTGTGCTTACAGAATCATATTACGTTTGGTACCTTAGTGCTGAGATCCGAAAAGTCAGCATATTCCATTCTGTCCTGGCTCCATTCATGGCTGCCAGATTCTAGTTAGTGTGGGGCAGTGGTTATTTTGGGAGACCTAGGCTCAAATCATCACTCAAAATAGCACACGGCCACAAACCTCCATGGGTGACTTAAGTCTACCTCACAGACTTGCTGTATTAATGTTTATTTTGCAGGTAGCAACAACATTTGCCAGCATGGCAACCAACTGTAACTGCTCACAGCACCCAGGATGTGGCAGAAGAACAGGATGTAAGCGGAGAAATTTCATTTATTTGTGAAAAAGAGGAACTCCACAGTTTAACGTAATTGCACTGTTAAGAACACAAGAAGAGCCTGCTGTATCGGGCCAATGGCCCAGCGACAATTCTGAGGGCCAGCAGCCAGCCAGGCCTGGAGGGCCACATTTGGCCCTGGGCCCCAGGTTCCCTATGTGTAGTAAGCCTTCTGTACATTCCCCAGGGCCTGATACTAATCTAATCTGAAATACAATATTGTTCAGGCACGAGTGAATATGAGACTCCTGGACTGCAGGGGGGTGGACTAGATGATCCTAGTGTCCCTTCCAATTCTGAAGCGAGTTCTACGAGTCTATGTAGTTTTATCTTTGAAAAAAAGACACATGACGGCATTCCCACACACGCCTTGCCAAAAAAACAACACCATCACCACCACACCTTAACATTCCGCTTTGGGGCGTAACTAGAAAACCGAGCGAGGCTATAATTCTGGGCTGAGCCTTAAGGGTCTTTAAACTTTCGAATTCCCCCAACGAGTAACTATTTTCATTCTGTGGTAGCAACATCCTTGGCAAGTCTGACAACGAACCGCCGAACTTCCCAGGCTTCACGTCATAGCGGGGAAAACAAAAACTCTGTGAGAGGAGAGAGGACAGAATAATTTCCTCGCAGCTTTTGCGCTTCCCAGCGCGAAGAGGAGGAGGCGGGCAGAGGTTCCCCTCGCGCGCCGCCGCAACCCCCTGAACCTCCCGCTCTCTCCGCCTCGACGGATTCCTCCCCTCGAGGCCCCGCCCCGCGGACTCTCGCGGCGGCGTTCTTGGAAGCCTTAATCGCTCCCTGGAAGAGGCTCTTCTTGGAGGGCGCGGACGCTGCGCGCTGCGATGCTCTCGCCGCCCAGCCTTGGCCCGGGGCTCCTCGTGCTTTCTTCACTACTTGCCGGCGTCCTGAGTGAGTAGCTGGAGGGAAAGCGGGAGCCGCGACTCGACAGAGGGGATTCCCCCTCCCCCGCCCCTTGGAGCCACTGGGAGCCAGCTAGGAGCGCCCACCATCCTACCCAACTTCAAATATTGGTTCTTTATACCGTAGGGAAGGATTTCCTCTACTTGTGTGAGTGAGTGAGTGAGTGTGTGTGTGTGTGTGTGTGTGTGTGTGTGATGGGCGCTCCTAGCTCCCAGTGGCTCAAAGGGGCAGGGAAACTTGGTACACACACCCACACCCCATATATAAATATATATATACATAAACACCAGCCCCACACTTCAGCCTTCAGGTGTTGTAGAGCTACAACTCCCATCATCCCTGACCACTGGTCCTAGTAGCTAGGGAGGATGGGAGTTGTAGTGCAACATCTGGGGATTCGAGTTTGAGAAAGGCACATATCTGCACACACACACACACACACACACATACATACACACACACACTTTTCTGCACCTGTTTAAAAACATTCCTATTTAGACAGACCTACCCAGCTGCTCAGAAAGTTGAGGTAATGTTAATCTGTTTTAGTATTTTAACTTTTGTACATTTTTAAAGTAGGGTTGTAATTTTTTTCTTGCTTTTACTGTCCTTTGTAAACCACTTTGGGTGTTTTTACAATCAATCAGTGTATAAATTTTATAAAATAAACACACACACGTAGTATAGTATTTCATCATATAGAATCATAGAATGGTAGAGTTGGGAGGAGTCCTGAGGGTCATCCAGTCCATCCTCCTGCAATGTGGGTATGTGTGGGGGAGGGGAAGGTAGTATTTCATCATATATGTCTGTTGTTTTAACTATATACAGTAATTGGTAACTGGATTTGAGTAAATCTTACTCAGCAGCATAAGTAGGAATGCCAAGCGGAAACTAACAAGTACTATTCTGAATGATGTTTGAATGAACAAGCACATTTTTAATCTAGAATGGAATACTTTATAGTTAATACAGTCACTAATAGTATGAATGGAGGGGTGGGGTAGGGAGAAAGAGACCAAAACAACTTCCCAGCCAAGTGGATGTCAAGCCTGTTTCTACCTTTTAACTCCCCCGATATTTCGTTCCTTTGTTTTTATTTGATATAATTTGCCTCACCCAAAGAGCACAAAAGAAAGAAAGAAAGAAAATACCAAATTGTTTCATAGAACTTATATACTTATAGAACTTAAAGTCACCCTAACTGGAGTGGTACTTCTTGGTAGTATGCTTCTGAAGGTCAGCTGGTGGAAATTGCAGGAGGGGAGCTTGGCCATTGTGAGAACAGGATTCTGGACTAGGTGGATCACTGGCCTGGTGCAACAGGCTTTTTCTTAAGTTGTTTTGTATATGGTGCAACTCAGGAATAGGTGAAGTCCCATTGACTGGGCCTTCTTAGAATGTGATATTTAAAGATGATGTATTACATTTTCACCAAGTAATTGGTTCTAATAACACAATATCCAAATAATCAGCTTAATCGAAATAATCTGCTGTTTATGTTGTAAACTGCTTTGAGAGCCTGTTTGGCAGAAAAGTATGGTGGAAATGGAAAAAAAACCCTGTCAGTAGTTTGTTGTTTAACTCTTGAAGCACATCTAATTTGATTGGAATAAACTACCTCCCGCCTCCCCCCCAACCCCCCCCCCAACCACAACCATAGGTATCAGGGCTGAAATAAGTGCTGGAAATCATGATGACAATTTTGCTCTCCAATCCTCTTGATTACTAGTGTTAGTGACCAAAAAAGAAAGCACATTCCTAAAGCAATTTCTACAATTTCAAGTTGTTGTTGTTGTTGTTCTCATCATCATTAATTACACACCCTCTACCAACAGGTCCCTGGTTAGGTTACAATTTAAAATTCAAAACAGTTAAAACAGTTAACAATCAAAGGAATAGAGTGGGCCCCAGAAACACACATCTCAAAGGTGGAGAGGTTCATCTTCAGCTTTTGCCGAAAGCTGAATAGTGAAGAAGCCAGACACATATCTGTGAGGAGGGAATTCCACAGTTTAGAGGATTCCACAGAGAATACAATCTTCTGGGCCGACACCCCCCCCCCCCCGAATTCCGAGGGCTGTGAAACTCCCAAGAGCTTCCCCTCTGCTGATCTTAACACCTGTGAGGTTCTGCAGGAAGGTCTTTCAGGCTATGTGGGGCCTAAGTTATTTAGGGCTTAAAACACTAAAGTGAGTACTATACAGTGGTACCTCAGGTTACATATGCTTCAGGTTACATACGCTTCAGGTTAAACACTCCGCTAACCCAGAAATAGTGCTTCAGGTTAAAAACTTTGCTTCAGGATGAGAACAGAAATCGGGCTCCGGCGGCACGGCAGCAGCAGGAGGCCCCATTAGCTAAAGTGGTGCTTCAGGTTAAGAACAGTTTCAGGTTAAGAACGGACCTCCGGAACGAATTAAATACTTAACCTGAGGTACCACTGTAAATTGAACCCAGAAATGAACTGGCAGTCAATGCAGCTCTTTTGGTACAGGGCCTATGTGAGGTGATGTTCAGAGGTTATTTTAATATAATCCAGTTTGAGGCAGTACATGGTTCTGGGGCAGTTAGCTTAGCACAGTATTTAAGTGTGCTCTGTACCATTCTGTTCAAAAAGACAGTGAATTATTATTATTATTTAAAATTATTCATCTTTTTTTACCAAGGTAATTCAAAGCAACTTTCAATATATGTACATACAAACACATACATTGAAACCAGCATAAAAGAAAAGAAAAAACAAAGACCCTAAAGGAAAATCCTATTTTTTAAAAGGCAGGATTAAAACATTCCACCCACTCAAGGCCAAAGATAATTAAAAGGCAAAAGCCTGGTTAAAAATGATTTTATATAATGTTGGTGCCAGAACATTCCACAAACAGGGAGTCACCACTGAAAAGGTCCATTCTCACATTGCCACCCTCCAGATCTTCCAAGTGACGAAAGCCAGGTCCAGAGTGCTTTACAGGGAGAGGTGGTCTTTGAGGTATTGGGGTCCTGAACTGCATAAGACTTTATAGGTCAAAAGCAGCACTTTGAATTGGGCTTGGAAACTTAACTGGTAACCAGTGTAGTCAGGCCAGGATTGGTGTTATGTGCTCAAGCCGTCTTGCCCTATTGAGCAATCTGACCACTGAATTCTGCACCAACTATGATTTCTGAATCACCTTCCATAGCAGTCCTATGTGCAGTGATCTAACGTAGACAAAAGAAGATAGGCTGTCCCTGCCCAAATAAGAGTATAGTTGGGCCTGGGCCGCCATCTGAAGCTGATGAAGGGGAGGGCACTTTGCACCACCAGGGCCACGACAGTGATGGATCCAGAAGTACTCCCAAACTATTACCTGCTTGTTTGGAGGGAATGTAATGCCATCAAGAGGCGGCTTCCCCCCATCCATCCAGTCTAGGGAACCACCCACAAACTCCATCTTATCTGGATTGAGCTTTGCTAAGCATGGGCATGAGACTGCTCAGCCGGAAATCAGCTTTTTATCAGAAAGCAGTGATAAGTTAATTGCTGAAAAAGCAGTTGCCTCTACAACAGCTGCCACAAAGAACTTGCAGGGACTTTTCAAGTACCAGTGCTGTGTGAATATAAAATGGAAGAATGGTATAAAGAGGTGTGGGATATAGCTATTAATGATAAATTAACATGTGCTATTAAGGTAAGGTGGGGAATATACAGGAGAAATGGTTCTGATGAGATATGGAAGGTATTTGTAGAATTTGCACTGTTAAAAAGGAAAGGGGTCAGACTATCACATTTTTATTTTTATTTGTTTATTATTCTTACTTTGTTAAAATTAGAAATAAATAAAATTAAATTTAAAAAACAGTTGCATCTACAACAGCTGCCACAAAGAACTTGCAGGGACTTTTCAAGTACCGGTGCTGTGTGCTAGTGGTGAGTTTAAATTATGGGAAGTATCCAACAAAATAGTTCCATTAGCCCAAGCATTTCTGCTTGCACGGTGTAATGGAACATCCTCTCCTTTTCCTCTCCCTGTATGCTCCCTAAATATGCTCCATAAAGGAAGAACCCTAAACTACTTTAGGAGGTGTGCAGGGAGAGAGAAAGGGGAAGTTATATTGCGGAACCAGAAGTCCTTCTGCTATCTGAGTGACTTCATTGGATACTGCCCGTTGACTTAGAGATATTTTTGTTACTGCTGTATGTTTAGTCACATCCTTCCAATGATTCAGCATTGCAAGCTGAAGAAGAACTTTTATAACTGTTGAGGGGAAAGAGTATATGTAATTATGCATACTCAAGCACAGCCCACTAGTGACATCCTCGTGTGATTTATATCCTTAAAGAATACTCCTTCAAAAGCTGTGAGAACAAAGTTCTGATATGCCTAATTTGGTGTATTGAAATTTGGCCAAGATGCCTAATGCTTGGATACTGTGTGTGAGAGAGAGCATGTAGAGTAGGGAAGAAGTGGCACTGAGACAGTGTTCTGGTTGGATACAAATGTTTGGCCAATATGAGTAACCTTGGCAATGGCCTCTTGCGCATCTGCAAAGCTGACAACACTTGTAAACACTTGGTGGTTAGGAGTGGCTATTTCCACTGTGATAATGGGATGCTGCACTAGATGTCTCACTGAGCTGATCCAGCAAGACTATTTTTAGGTTCTTACAGCTTTTGCCAAATGCTGATTCCTGGCCTTTGGCATGCCCCAGTATGCTCTGGAGGGTCTCCTATCCCTACAGACCTGATTTTGAGGGCATGCAGGGGGCTGGAGGTGACAGGAAAATAGAGTTAATTTTGATGTGCACATGGGAACCTGTTGTGTAGGCAGAGCAGCACTGTTGGATAAATAAGGTTTGTGGTGAGCCCTGTGATGCTTGGCTGGTAATGCTGCAATCATATATGTTAGTGTAACGCTCTTGTCTCCACGTTTCTCCCAGCTGCAATAACAAAATTACTTATTAAAAAGCTCCGTGGCTTTTCTGTAAATATTGTGAGCACAGGAAACACGATTTTGCTAACTCTTGTTTTCTTTTCTTCTCCTCCCCCTCCCAGCTTTTTAAAAGTTCAATTTGCAAGCATCTTAAATGTGGGTTAAGTGTAGCATTGTGCCAACAGCTGGTTCCTGGGCACGCTGGTGGTTTGTCATTCTTGTCTCACCACAAGCTGACATGGCATTTTGCTGTCTGAGGCAAAGATCTGGCTAGCTTCCTACATTATTCCATGCCCAAAAGCTCACTGGACTAGCAGCTGATATTCAACAGGTTCCATCACAGCGCCGAGGGAAGTTGGTAGCCTTAGAGGGGCAGAGGCATACATAGGCAGTTCTTTCCTCCAACACTTTTAAGACTGTAAGCCCATTCCATCCCCAGGGCTGAAAGTGTGCACAGAATGGTCACCTGTATACAACGCAGCAGCAATTTTATTTATTTATCAAAAGTATTTATAATCCACCCTTCACCTAAAGGCCTCTTCAAAATCAAAAACTTCAAAATCAGACTTCACCATAAATCTAAAAAAGCATAAAACAACCCAATACAAAACCCTAAACAAAGACTGAAAAGCAGCACCACCAACCAAAATACACAAATCCCTTGCACACTTTCCCCCTCCACAAGGACATAGGCGAAGAGCTGTATTGCCATCAAAATGAAAGCAATGTGGTGGTGAGACACACCTCAGAAGAGAGGGTAAAGGAGAGAACGCCCCACCATGGGCCCCTGCACCACAGTGCTTATTAGGCATGGGAACCGCCAGCAAGGTTTCCCTGGCAGATCTGGAAACTATGGTAGGTCGGTATGGCAGCAGAATAACATGCACACAAATGTAATGCTTGCTAAAGTGCATGTCCTGGGCTGGCTGCCATTCTGCCTGCTCACTCAAACGGAGGACTTTCCCAGCACTACTGCCTATGACATATTGGGAGGTGACCAGATGAGAAAACCGGCTAATCCTGCCCAACTCAGAAACAAGCAAGTTTCATTGCCAGTTCAGGAGATTGGAAAAAGCTAAATAAATGTAGGTATTGAGGGTGGGAACTAATAAAAACCACAGGAAGCAGCTACCTTACTTTGCCTAATAGTAAGGTCAGCTTTGCCTGATCTGTTTGGTTTTTTTATTCTTACAGCTATTGCAGGCTAAAATAGAGAATTAGATTGGCTGAGAGTCTTGGGATCAATGACTCTATGCTAGTTCATTTCCCCTTTGCTAAATAGGAACTGTCTCAGGTTTGGGAAGATGGATGGGTGAGATACTGGTTGTTAAAAGGTTTGTGCATTTAAGGTGTTTTATAAGTGCTTGATCATCCTTGCAATATACATCTAAAACAAAATACAGCATTCTGCATGAAAGCTGAATGAAACTGAACAAGGTAATGATGTGTGTTTCTGCCAGTTCTCAAGGTAAATCCATAGTAATATTTTTTGAATACAATACCAGCAATGCATTGATTTAAAAGCAATATTTTCTGCATATCATAGGTGATTGTGGCCCTCCACCAGTCATTCGCAATGGAGTCCCTCATAAGAATATTGAGGGCGCATCTTTCCCTCCAGGCTCAACGGTAATTTACAAGTGTCTGGGCAACTTTTTTAATGTCTATGGAAAAGTAGATGTTGTAACATGTCTTCCAGATTCAAAGTGGTCACACATAGAACAGTTTTGTGTGGGTAAGTGTTTATTTTTTAAATGTACCTATCCTTGACATATTGTTATGGGGGGGAAAGAGGGGGTTGTTTTTGGCTTTTTAAATGGAGAGCCAGTGTGGTGTAGTGGTTAAGAGCGGTAGTCTCCTAATCTGGGGAACCGGGTTCGCGTCTCCGCTCCTCCACATGCAGCTGCTGGGTGACCTTGGGCCAGTCACACTTCTCTGAAGTCTCTCAGCCCCACTCACCTCACAGAGTGTTTGTTGTGGGGGAGGAAGGGAAAGGAGAATGTTAGCCGCTTTGAGACTCCTGAAGGGGAGTGAAAGGCGGGATATCAAATCCAAACTCTTCTTCTTCTTCTTCTATTTTTTAAATGTACCTATCCTTGACATATTGTTATGGGGGGGAAAGAGGGGGTTGTTTTTGGCTTTTTAAATGACTATTCGTTTTAGAATCAAGGGTGACATCTTGTTTAATTCATGTATTGATGGATTGTAAGCAAATGTTTTATATCCCATTGTTCTACAGGTTCTCAGGGTGTCTTACAATTGCATTGCTGCCGCCGTTTCCCCTGCCTCTGCCACCGACCGCTGCTGCTGTGGCAGACGCAGTAGTGGCTCCCACTTTGGCCGTGCCAGCCGCAGCCATGCCGCAGCCTGGCTGGCAGGAGATTTGCTTGGTCCACCACCAAGCTTGGTGAGCTGGGCTAGGCGCTTGGGCGTCTCCCAGTTGTGCACGTGTGCGATGTCACAGGTGCTCATTACATCCCGTGCAAGTGACGTCACAGGCGTGCCCCACGCTTGTGATGTCACAGGTGTGTGGCACAGCACTGAGCCCCTCCAATACTGGGCCCAAAGTGGCTCCTCTTGTCACCCTCCCTCACTTTCAGGGAGGGAGGAAGTTAGGGTTATTTCCTGGACCTAAGTTAGTTGGATACAACCCCTTATTGTGTATGCCCTCCAAAATATTCTGCATGAGGTTTTGCTGGAGCAGATATGCCTAACATTATGAAATAATTAAACGGAATGTGATATGCAGTCCTGGACTCTTTAAAAAGCAGTTAAACAGTGTCCAAGCTGATCTCTGCAATCCGCCTTCCCAGAGGTTTGCTTTCCCCGATAATGATGGATGGAGGTTTCTTCAGAACATCTGAAGTTTGTTCTCTGACTTCCTCCTAATCAGAGAGTGGGGTTCGGCTGTCAGATTGAGACCTGACTGCCTTAAATAACTGCAGCTGAATATTATTATATTTTATGTAAAAAATAAATAAATAAAAATATAAAAAACTGGCAGGTAAAACCACATTTTCCTAAAATTCAGCTAAGACTCCTTGGAGTGACTCTCAGCTCCTCATTGAAATGGCAGAGTAATACCAGCAGCCCACAAATGGCTCAGCAATCAGGAAGGTATTTATCTGGCAGCAAAATTCCGACAGTGCCAGTTGCCTGCATTTGTCACGTAATGCAGTATTGCAATCAAAAGGTTCAAAAATCAAAAGGAAAAGTCTCTTTCTCTGTCAAATCCTTCCCAGCATATTTCCCCATTCTTTTGTCTGCTTTTGTTGCCAGGCAGTTGCATGAGCCCACCAAGGTCCGCATTTGCTCAAGTAAAGAAAGGGCAAAGGAAGGATTACTATATTGCCAACACCACTGTGGCCTATATCTGCCGCCAAGGTTACGACACTATCCCTGAAATAACTCCTGTTATTACTTGTCGTGAGAATTACACTTGGACAGAAATCCCAGCTTTTTGTAAAGGTCAGTATCTTGTTGCAGTTAACTTCAAGATCACACAGTTGAAATCTTGTTTTCATCTGTAATATGTTTAGAAGAGTATGATACTGTACTGCCGTACCTCAGAATTTGAATAGAATACATTCCAGAAGTCCGTTCAACTTCTGAAACGTTCAACTTCCAAAGTGAAGCTTCTGATTGGCTGCAGGAAGCTCCTAGCCCTCAGAGCAGGAGAAAATAAACTTGCTTCATCCTCTGTGTGGCATGACAGCCCTTTAGATATTTGAATACAGCTATCATATCTCCTCTCAGTCTCTCTTTTCCAGGCTAAACATACCCAACTCCCTGAACTGTTCCTCATAAGGCATGGTTTCCTGACCCTTGATAATCTTGGCTACCCTCCTCTGCAAACATTGCAGCTTGTCAATGTCTTCCTTAAATGTTGGTGCCCCGAACCAGACACAGTACTCCAGGTGTGGTCAGACTGTTACTTCTGTTGATGTAGCCAAGAATACCATTAGCTTTTTTTGCTGCTGCATCACACTGCTGACTCGTGTTAAGCTTGTGGTATACTAGATCCTAGATCTTTTTCACATGTAATTTTCAATTAACCACAGTATACTATGTAACAAGGACCCATAATCTAACCTTGACTATGGTTACTTTCAGCAAGGTAGGATAACCTATAGTTGGTACAAGACACTGCAAACTGCAGGCCAGCTGTTGTGGTGGTGGAGTGTGTGAGCCTGTTTGCTTCAGCATATTCATGCACCACTAAAGCATTGTTTACTGTCTTAATGTGATGTATGGATATAACCACAGACTTGAAATACATTTAATTTGCTTTTGATTTGGCTGGAACAACAACAGCCTTTTAACAATAGCAGTTCCATGATCTGTCAAGCAATTGAGCATGCTTAAAGCCATTAATTTCAATGGACTTTTAATATCTAAAAGCATTGCGTATTTTTTGTCACCCACCTCCAAACCCTGCATCAGCATTCTTGTTAATTTCTTCTCACTTAAAAGGCAACTTTTCTAATACTGTAAGGGGCTGCTTCTTGAAAACATAGGCAGATCATAAGCTTTCTTAGTTACCCTTTGAACCTGGGGCAGAATATTTGATGAATCAAATTGTCAATGAATGCCATATCCATGTAATCCTAATATGCTAATTCTCACCTTTCTGTAGGAAAATCATGTGGTGATCCAGGAAAACCAGAACATGGTGATGCTGTTATTCTAACTAATCTCCTGTATTTGGCAAAAGTAAATTTCACATGTGAAGATGGGTGCGTGTTGACTTGGCTCTGTTAGCAAGTCTTAATTAAGACATAAAATTTAATGGGTGAATTCTGGAGAACAAATCTATAGTTTACCTTTTTTTAAAAAACCCAACAACCAATAACCTAAGAGTTGAGGCAATCATGCCAATAGTACTTTCTTAAAATAAACTTCAGAGAAGCTAAGCACAGCTCTCTCCCATAAATTTTATGGTAGTAAGTATGATACGTTCCTATTTATTCTGAGAGGATGAAGTTTTTTCTCAGTAAACTGAAATAAGCAAACCAAATGTGGTGAATTGCGAAATAAACCAGCTCTGAATTTCCTCGTCAACTATTTCACAAAGGACCTCGCAGGAAGAATGCAATAAAATACCTTCCACAAGTGTTGAATAGGCTACATTCTTCAAGTGGAAAGTAATGCTCTCCTCTACCCACTTTTTAAAAAAGTTGCTATTCTGAAGAATTTAGGCACCTAGAGTTTGAGATAGATCAAAGAGAAACTGTTGTTAATCTAACAGAGTTAAGGGTTCTTGGCCCTGCCTTATTCCTGTGTTGGGTTTATTTTGCAAATTTATTATCAGATGATTAATGCTAAATTGTATAAGATTTACTGTATGGTTTTTTTTTTACATATCATTACTTGACAGAGACAGCATCAGGTTTTGGGAGACCTTCAGCCAACTTTAATAGGTCTCATAATTGTCCAGGAGTGGCAGAGCATTGCCTGATGATACAGAGGGTAGCAGAGGGAAGCAGGATATCAGAAGCACTTGCTCTGTAACAAGGAATTCTATGATGAACCATGCATGGGCCCATTTGCACTGTCCATCTAAAGCAGTGTAAGTCCTGGAAACCATGGTTTGTTAAGGATTCTGAGCATTGTTAGGAGACCCCTTTCAAAGAGCTACAATTCTCAGAGTGGTTTAATAATCAATTCCTCTTCCTAAGGGAACTCTGGGAACTGTAGCTCACAATAACGTTTATAAACAAAGATGGTAGAACCTTCATTTATGGAGAATAATAGGGAAAAAACATTTAAACTGCAATGCAGAGACAATAAAAATCTCTCTGTTAGGATGCACAGCTAACTTCTTTGATATCGGTAAAGTGCATGCTTCAAAATTATGAGTTATTAAAGAAACCGCTGAAGAATTATGTATAAAGGTGCACCTTGTACTTTTCCTTTTATTTAGGTACACGTTAAATGGATCACCTACTATTCAGTGTCAGTGGAAGAAAGATCATGTTGAATGGAGCCAGAAGCCTCCAGAATGTCAACGTAAGATTCTCTTGTGACAGATACCAGATTAATTAGGATTGACCACCTTATATTGTGCCACCTAACAGCAACTAAAGTCTCCAAGGGGAGCCAAGGAAAAGCCATTATTCTTCATAGAAAAAAATGCCAATAGACTCTCATATCTGCAGTAAGAATATGAGGATGCCAGGAAGTATTGCAGAGGGAAACCCTTCTAGCTGGCATGCTCATCTTCTCTGGTACAGAGTTGTTGTTTATGTATATGGCGTGCGTCTGTATATGCTTGATAACCACAGAGAGTTTTAATTGCATCACTCATGTCATAGGCCATAGAAACTGACAGCCCTCCGTTACACTAGATTAAGGAGTAGCAAAAGCTTTAAATTGTAATGTTTTATAAGAGCGAGAACTAAATATGCCTGTATGTGCCTCTTATACAGGGCTAATTGAGAAACCCACAGAAGATGGTACAAACACAACAGGTTAGAAACAAATTATTTAATTGCAATAGCTTGTGTGGTCAACACAGAATTTTTAAATTAGGTTTTATTGGGATTATGTTGTTATTTTTGCTTTTTCTGCAGTTTGTTCTAAAAGCTGTTAATTCATTTGAGAGTTTTGATTATTACCATTTAAAGCAAAAACTTTAAATCCATCTGCATGTGCCTCTTATACAGGGCAAGCTGTGCCACCATCAGGAGGCAGTGCTACAAATAATACAGGTTGGGAAACTTTTTTTTCATTTCAGTAGCTAGCATTGTAATCGCTTGTGGTACTAGTGGTTAATTCAGAGCTTTTATTAGGATTTCAGAATGTTCTGTTCTTTTTGTCTTGTCCTGCAATGTAATTATTTGAATACCTGTTAACTCCTTGGAGAACTTTGATTTTTACCGTGTCCGTAGTGTTGGCATCTGATCTGTCTGTCTATCTATCTATCAGATTTAGCATAGTGCGCCCTACAAACCAGCTCAATATGTGGCTTGTTGCTCAGAAACAAAAAAGAAGCTGTAATGAGGGTTCAAGCATAGGCTAAGCCTTTAAACAGTGGTGTACCTAGGGTCCCTTGCAGCATTGGCATCCATCCCCAACAAAAACACTTTACAGCTATAGCCACATTAGAAACTACTACATTTTACACAACCCAAGTACTCAAAGCATCCAGAGTGAGGGGAGAAGGGTGGAAAAAATCTCATGCCTTTGTGCCGCAGTGTGAGAAGGATGGGAAGCTTCTTCTGCATTTGATCTTGCTGCAACAGCGGTGTCTAGGTCTCTTAGAATTTCTGTGCGATGCTGGGCATGAGGCTGCTAGTTGTTAATAATCATGTGATATTGTTTGATTTATTCTGTTTTCGGTTTTTATTAACCTGTCTATTTAATGTCTATTGCGTGCAGCCCTGGGACCCTTGGGTGAATGGTGGAATATAAATTAAATAAAGTAGAAGGCTGAGTTTTACTTTTGGATTCCTCTTAAGAGCTTGATTATGCTTTTCTTTTCCTTTTTTAATTTTTTTAAAAGGAGTGGAAGAGTATTTACACAGCTAGTGAGATTACCTTTTCCCACCGTTGGTGATGAATGTAAAGGTATGTAGGGTGCAAGAGAGATTTCATTTGGGTGCTAATGCATTTACCAGTGGGTGGCATATGGCTTCATGCATGGTGCTTTTTCTCCTCAGGGTTCAGCATTGCAAAATAATAGGGCTTTGGGTGATTTGACTATATTAGGAACCAAGTGGAAAGTAGTGCATGTGCATATTCTCAAGATCCCAGGTCTGCTGAATAAAGTGTGGAGCTACCCTTCCAGCCTAGATTAATGAAGGCCAAGTGTACACCACAACTTTGTCTTGGTGACTAACCCTCTGCTTAGTATACCTTCTGGAGCAAAATGAAGGCTTTGGAGTCAAGGTGCTAGGGAAATAATTTGAAATCATAGTATTTTAGTTGCTTTTGTGACTTGTATCGTATGTTATTAGGAGTATTTATTCATGTTTCCCATTTGCTACCCTCTTTGCTAAAATTCTTCCACACATCTTTGAATCTACTAGAGTGAAGTTCTTGAGATGAATTAACTAAGACTACTGAACATAGATTAAGGTTTTGATGTGTAGTTCACTGGTGTATTCAATGTGTAGTGCTATGTATAATGATTGGGGAACTGCACCTGGTGTTTGGATGTAGTGTTAGGGAATATCCATGCTCAATGCCTCATCAGTTTTCAAAATCTGAGGTTTTGTCTACATGTTATTTGGTTCCAATGTGGTTGGTTGGCTGCCCTTGCACTGTGTTCCAATGACAGAAGCAATAATGTGCATTGATTTTGGGGTTTCTTTTACATTGTTTCCTTTACATTGACATATCAGTGAAAGTGGTTTCAAATACAAGCTTTATACCTGTGATCGTATTGTTCAGAGGCTGTAGCTGCATACTAATTTCATTTCCAGCTTATTGTACTTTGTAGTAAGGCTGTGTTACCAAGCACTTTGATACACTTGTTTTCTGTGTTTGCATTTGTGTGTGTGTGTACGTGTGTGTACTACACCAGAGAACGCAACTGGCACATCATTAAATATATTAAAATGCTTTTGGAAGGACAATCTATTGAGGCACTACAGAGAGTGGTTTTAAAGAGAGATCAATGGTGATAGATGCTCCTTAGTCTGGAATGCGGATTAAATTGGACTTCTCCATGTGCAGACACCAGATCCTCTGACAAACTCCTGCAATCCTTGTTCTCCCCAGTAACAATCTCTCTCTCTCTCTCTCTCTCTCTCTCTCTGTGTGTGTGTTTGTGTGTGTATATATTACTATATACATAAAAATGGAACACTGTCATCATGGTGTGGCTTACGCCAAAAGGAGGAGGAGAAGGTTAGACAAACCTCTCTCTGGAGTGCCCTCCCCAATTAAACCCGCCTGCAGTGAGGTTTAATGGAGAAGGGAGGCATGTCAGATACTGGTTTGCCAAATGGTTCTCTGAAGCGCCTCCTTTAAAAGGGGGTGGGGCTTAGAGTGAGGGACGGGCACACTATGAGGGTATAAGCAAGGGGGTTGGTCAGGTGTGGGGGAAGTGGGGTTGGCAAAGGGTTTGAGTGAGCAGAGGCGGCAACCGAGAGAGAGCGCGTGTATGTGTGTATATGTATATAAGATCTTGTATATAAGATCTATATTATATGTGTGTGTATTCTCTCTAAAGTGACACTGCCCATGTCTACTGCTTTGAATCAGTAAGTCAGGATCAGCTTATAGCAGATTTGGTCCTATAATGAATGATATCTCCTTAAGTAACATGTCCCTGCATTACCCATGGCCTTTGAAAAACATTTCTTTTTTATTTTATTTTATTTTAAGGACCACAACTTCGAACTCTACTTTATATTTGTAAGTTATCTTATTATGCATTTGTTTGACTCTAATCAGGCATTTCTTTAACTATGATTGAAATACTTTACAAATAGTACTGTAAGTTATTATGTGTTCCTCTGATTTTCTTTTCCCACTAGTGTGAGAAAGTGAAACATTACTGAATAGCGCAGTATGAACACACTGTTTCATAAGAGGAAAATCCATAACAAGGAGTCATATGGTAGCCACCGCCAATAAATTATGTGGATACTCCCTCCCTCTCCCAAATTATGTGGCTATTGCGCCATAGTGAAATGGCATCTGAATGTAGTCACTCAAGAATGTAGAGTAAGACCAAGGCAGCATAGAAGCCAACTGCTAGGGGCCATGGGAGTTTCGGCCCCCACAATAAAATATTTGATGGGGCCAGGCCCCTGCAAAGTTGATGTCAATTCCCATTCAAATGGTGTGTGTGCGCACTGCATCATGTGATCAGTTATGCAGGGCAGGGCTTACCTGGGCCCCCACAATATATTATTCAAGTTGGCACCCCTGCAAGGCCATGGTTCCCTCAAAATGTCGATGAGCTGCAGCTTCAGTCATCCCTTACCATTGGCAATGGTGGCTGGGGTTGATGGAAGCCAGAGTCCAATAAGATCTGGAGGGCATCACCTTGACTATCCCGATATAGAATCTCAGACTTTTCATAATATCACAGAGAACAATTTACATTTGTAGCGAAAATCTGTGGATCTATATAGTGAATGCATACACACAAATGCTTTCATCTCTGTAGGGGCTTGAATTGAAAGCAAAGTGTAAACTTTGCCACTTAGTAATGATAATATTCTGGTTATTTTCCTTTTCAATATTATTGTTTTCTATTTAGATTAGGGACTGGGCATTCTAGGTTTGTCCCCACCTTTTTAACAGAGGATAAGTTTGTATGGGATGTGGGTGGTTCTGTGGGTTAAACCACAGAACCTAAGGCTTGCTGATCAAAAGGTTGGCAGTTCGAATCCCCACGACGGGGTGAGCTCCCGTTGCTTGGTCCCTGCTCCTGCCAACCTAGCAGTTTGAAAGCACATCAAAGTGCAAGTAGATAAATAGGTACTGCTCTGGTGGGAAGGTAAATGGCATTTCCGTGCACTGCTCTGGTTCATGATCCAGAAGCTGTACGCCGGCTTCCTCAGCCAGTAAAGCGAGATGAGCACCGCAACCCCAGAGTCGTCTGCGACTGGACCTAATGGTCAGGGGTCCCTTTACCTTTACCTTTAATGTTGTATGTACTATTAAACCATGGTTTAGCATTACAAGGACAAGCTGCAGTGAGCCCAGGCTTGCATGCTCCTCCTCCCCAATTTGTTGCCTGAGATTAGTGCTGCTAATTAAATTAGTGCTATATAGCACTTGCGTTGTGGTAATACTTCATTTATAGTTTCCATCACCTTCTTTTCTCCCCCATCTCTCAGCACTTCTGGTTGTGGCATTTCTTCTTACTGTTGGTATTTTTTTCCTAAAGAAAGTTTTTGAAAAGAGAAGAAGGTAAGCTGGTCATAAATTCTTGTTTAGCACAATATTCATATCCAACCCATTGCCAGTTTCTTCTCTGTAGCACCTTTGTTCAGTCATGTCTTGTGTCAGGGTCACATCTGGGGAGGGATGGTGTGTACAACAAAACAAAACTTGACTCCCCCCTTCTTCTGAGCATCCTTACTGTTTCTAGACCTGATGCAGCAAGTGTTCCAAGTTCTTTGCCTTGCTTACCAGGCTCTGGGATGCTTTGTGAAATCTTGTGGGGCCATCTGAGTTTTCACAAGAACTCACAAGACTCTCCCGGAGCCCAGTAAGCAAGTCTGAGAGCTTAAAAGCTCTTTCCACACCAGGAAAACTATGCACAAAAGGAGCTTTTAAGCTCTGCCTTTCATGCATTTGATTTGTTTTATTTCAACTGGCCGTCCTTCAACCACGTAAAGCTGAAATCACACATGTCAAATGCCTGGGAGTTGCAATCGTACTTTTTTTTTATCTGTTCTTATGCATTTGTAGACGCTTTAGGGTTTCTTCTTCTTCTTACAAGCATGTAGAAAGCAGGGGGTGGAGAACAGCTTGTAGCCACTCATTGTAATAGTATTCTTAAATCCAACATACTGTACGGGATACATTGGAATACATTCCCTGACCTAGAGATGAGAATAACTCATCCTCTGCAAAAAATAGTGTTTACACAACACAGCAGAGAGGTACGTATTTGAAACCTGGCAAATAAAAGGTTAGGCTGCAATGTAAACACCTTATTTAGGGAGTAAGGACCACTGCCGATTGTGAAACTTTCTTCTGAGTAAGCATGTATAGCGCTGTGCTCTTAGTCATTCTTCTTCTTTATATGCCTGCCTCTTTCTTTTGCTTGTTCAGCCACTTGAATCAAGGAACTTTAAACCATGCAGTCTTATGAAATATGGTCTGCAGAAATAGGAAACAGCACAGCTGACTTTAGCATCAAAAGGTATTATTTTTAAAGTCATTTTAATGTTGAAAATTAAATTAAGTAGCAGTTGTGACTTTGGGAGGGAGAAGGGATTCTCTTTGTTCTCCTGACTCTGGAATCATACATGCTCCTGTACCTCTACCCTTCCGAAAATAGTTATGGGGATTACAGTACAGTATATCTATGCTGCCTTTATACTTGGCAAGCTGGCTGATTCTCATGCAGATTTTCACAAAGAGATATGATTGCTTAACATAGGAGGGACGGGTGGCTGAGCAAAGAAGCTTGAAGAGCATAAATTTTTTACACACATTTTCTTGCATGGCGAGTTTTCGTTTCAAGCCTCCTGAAGAAGACATTCATAGAATAAATCAAGTCAAGTTCATTAATAGTCCACATATCTTAAAAGAACAAATATTTTATTTCATTCAGCTGAGTTTATTTCATTTAAAAGAAACTAAAAAATATATAAGAAAGCGCAATAAAAGTATATTTTTAAAGGATTGGGACAAAATTGAAACCAGTGCCTCTTAATAGTTATGTAAAAAGTTGTTCCCAGATATTTATAACTTGATATACAGACTTCACAACTGATTTAGGGTGCTTCCAGATAGGGCTTGCCGATTGGAAGGTCGGCAGTTCAAATCCCCGCAACGGAATGAGCTCCCATTGTTCTGTCCCAGCTCCTGCCAACCTAGCAATTCGAAAGCATGCCAGTGCAAGTAGATAAATAGGTACCACTGTGGCAGGAAGGTAAATGGCGTTTCCATGTACTCTGGTTTCCGTCACGGTGTTCCGTTGTGCCAGAAGCAATTTAGTCATGCTGGTCACATGACCCAGAAAGCTGTCTGTGGACAAAGGCAGCTCCCTTGGCCTGAAAGTGAGATGAGTGCCACAACCCCATAGTCACCTTTGACTGAACTTAACCATCCAGGGGTCCTTTACCTTTTATCTTACCTAATATTGTAAAACTGGTCGTGACATAGCACAAATGGGTTACTGTACTAAAAAAAGTAATCCTTTTTTTCCTGGGAGGGGAAACCAGGCTAAATGGAGGGAAATGTGTTCTAGCTAGCATTTTTTTGCCAACCACTAGAAGCACAGAGTTACCTAAGTGTGTTAGATATGACCATTGTTGAATGAATAAATCCCGGTTTCCTCCTATAGAGGGCACATGCTATCTTTTATGTTCTCTAATTGTACTGCTTTTTAAATATGAGGAACTTAATGTTTCCGTTGGTGCAGCCTGTTTCAGCGAAAAGAAAAGAAAACTTGTTGCCACATAAATAACACATTTTTCGCACGAGCCTGTTTACATTAAACCTGTTTTTTTGGTGATATAAAAAAATTCTATAGTTGCAGGTTATACATTTATTTACAGAATGCTTTAAAAGACCAAGGCTGCATACACAATCTCCTGTTTGTAGCAAAAAAAAAAAATGTTTTTTTCAATCTGAAATCATTCATACTTGTCCTCATAATGTTTTCACTCTAGATTGATTCTGTATCTTGCATCCTGCATCTTGCATCTGTACACCGCTAATAAACTAGCAAGCATAACACTGGAAGTAAAAACTTACGATTAATCTTCATTTTTCATTTTTCTGCATACAATTTGTGGATCATATTGTTTTCTCTTCTTAGACTGCACTACAGTAGGGAGCTGTTGAGTTGAGGAGAAATGAGAAAAGCAACAGATTACCCCTGTATCAGCTGGTTTTGCATGCAAATGTAGATATTCCCTAGCTAGAAAAACATTTCCCTGAACTTTGAAGGCATGTTTGATAAGGCCTACTTACAGTATTAAATGTTACATAACTTTGACTTAGATTTGCATAGAGAGTCAAGTCTTTTATTGTCTTGGACAGAATCTAATTGGATGTACTGTATAAATAAAGAACCCATCCTATTTTTTGGCATCTAAGATTTATTTCTATTTTTTTGCACATCTACCATAAGGAACAGCTAAAACATCACAAATTAGGGAGTAAGCATTTGGGTTCACTAGAACTCTGTCTTCAGGCTTAAATGTTCAATAAAGACAAGAAAAGGGAAAATGTGTGTCATGGGCATATGTCATGAAACATATTTTTTCTCTTCTCTTCTCAATCTTTGGCTGGTTGACCTTACTGAATATCCACCTTGAAGAAGAGTTCTGAGTAATTCAAAAGCTCACTCATTACATTATTGCAGTAATTTAAGAACTAACAGTAGGTATCCAACGTAATGCTTACAGTGGATTTTTTGGGAAGAGAAGCAAACCAAGACCACCTAAATATCTATATCTCCTCTGATCATACCCCTGATTACTTAAATGTATTTTAAAATTGTGTTCCTGGAAAAGTGCTTATAATGTTTGGCTCTGTTTTCTGCTGCCTTAAGAAAGGAAACAATCTCATTGATAGAGTTTATAAGCAATTTTCTTCCAATGAGAATTTTTATTGGGATAGTCTTTGATATAGGTTGACACTAGTTCTCAACAAATCAAATTATATATACAGTGGTGCCCCGCAAGACGAATGCCTCGCAAGACGGAAAACCCGCTAGACGAAAGGGTTTTCCGTTTTGGAGGTGCTTCGCAAAACGAATTTCCTATGTGCTTGCTTCGCAAGACGAAAATGTCTTGCGAGTTCCTGCGGGTTTTTTTTCCTTTTCCCCCTCTTTTTCCCAAGCCGCTAAACCGCTTATCAGCTGATCCTTAAGCCGCTTATCAGCTGATCCTTAAGCCGCTTAACAGCTGATCGCTAAGCCGCTTATCAGCTGATCCACTAAGCCGCTAATACTGTAGCGCTAATCCGCTAAACTGCTAATGGGCTTGCTTCGCAAGACGAAAAAACCCGCAAGACGAAGAGACTCGCGGAACGGATTCTTTTCGTCTTGTGAGGCACCACTGTACAAGGTGGTGGTTGCTGCCCCTGTGGTGCCAGGATTAAGCAATGAAAATGATTCAGTATAAACTGCATCCTATTTAATGGTGTTGTAATGAAAACCCATTAGGCTGCAATCTTATACCCATTTTACCTGGAAGTAAAGCCCACTGTACTTACTTTTGAGTGCATGTGTATAGTTTTGCACTTTGAATCTATATTTAGCTTATCTATATTTGACTTATATTTAACTTAAACGTTGGATCAATTTTATGGGTATATTAAATGGCTAGAGTTGCTAAGTGTTTGCCCAAGATGAGAAACCTTTTTAATACACTGGACTTTGGGTAATGCTGAAGCTGCTGTACCTCCACCAGTCTTCTTCCACATACCCCAGCTGTGGTGCAAAATTAGTTGTCCTCGCCAAGGTTGGTTGGAGAAGAACAGGGTGGAGGCACAGAGGTTACAGATTTCCTCTGTGCATCAGAGCATATAAAAGCTCAGCCATTGTCTTAACGCAAGAATTGGCAAACCTGCTGGTCAGAGTTTTGTTTACAATGAAGTTGCTAGGCATCTGACCTGGTTCTGGCCAAATAGGCATAGCCAGAGCCTGGGAGTGATGTACATCTGGAACATGCATCCAGGTATCCCTGTTGGCCTAAGAAGCTTTTAAAGGGATCTGGGCTTAACATATCACTTGTTCTGAATGATTCTTGTTCAGTGGGCTTCTTTTGTGGTCCAGTTATCCTATAGTCCACTTCTTTTGCCAGAACCTGCTGGTGTATTAACCTTGGTTGTGTATTAACCTGAATTCCCCTGGTACCTTCTTGGGCACCGTAGCTAGGGAGACACCTGAAGTCTGGTTGAGAGAAGGTGCCCACAATCCAGTTGGCCATTGGCTGCTTGTTTATTTTTGCTGTGGCAATTTTGGGTAGCTCTTGAACCACTTTCTGGCTTGACACTTCCAATACCTGCACTCACCTATGGCTGGTATGTGAAGACCCTGGTAAAGCCCTCCCAAAGGTAACCCACCACTTGGCAGTCTGGGAACAAAAACAGAAGCAAGTGCAAGGCAGCAGGGTGTACTGGAGAGAGGGCAAGGGAGCATAGGACCTGAGGTTTGGGTGGGTGATTACTCCCTCTCTCCCACACCAGTGGAAGGGGCAGGGTGCAAATATCCTTCCTTGGTCCCCCAAGGACCATAGCCCCAGGGTCCTCAAAAGAAGCTGTGGGGGGCATGAGTACAGGTGCAAGTGGGTTGAGAGTGGAGAGCGAGGCAAAGTTCACACGCGTGCATGACCTTACATTGAGGTCTTTGGCAGGCCTCCTGATTAGACTTTCAGCAAGCATGGCGTAAGGGGTCTCGCTTGGAAGCAGGGCTTGTTTGTTTAAAGGCCCTCTGACCTCTCCCTGATATGGGGTCCACCAGCTTGAACCAGAAAACACTGTTACGTAGATTCCACATGGCATGGGGATTGCTGGAAGCCCTCTTATGGAAGGCCTTGTCATAGTGGAATAGCCCACTCGGTGGAATAACCTGAACCCTCCTCTTTTTTTCATACCTCCAAGATATTTTAGGTTTCCTTTTCCCAATTCAGGAGGCAACAACGTAAGAAGGTAAATGTAATAGCCATTGGCCTCAGCCCTGACAAATTGCTACATGCCAATGGTGGGTGGGACAAGAGGGAAAGGAGATGGAGCAGCTGATGTATCTCTAACATTTTACAATAGGGTACTTTCCGCCCACGCAAAAGTTAGAGGACATCTCTCTGCTCTCCATCCAGGCAAACAAGAGGCGTTATCACAGTTCAAGAACACGTTCCAGCCAGGCAAAAGCACTATCAGATTGCGCAGAGCAGAGCTGGGGAGGAAGCATTAGCTTTGGAGAGGGTATGGCCTGGCTGATTCTTCAGAATAGAAAAGGCATAAGGACTTCCCTGCTTCAGGTTGGAGTGGGGCCAGGAGGAACCGCACATCATAAGGGGTGGGGTCAAATGCACAGCACCACAGCATGTTTATTTAGTTATTTATTGCCCATTCACGCAAGCAAGATATGAAGGGGTGTTTTATCCTCACTTGAGTGTCTTCTCTCCATTGCTTTGCATTTTTGTAGCAAGTAATAAGGCTTCTAACCAGGAAGTAAAGTCACTGTTATTGCTGGCATGGGGACAGCATTACAATAAAAAGGAAGTTATTGATTTCCACTGAAAGCCAAACAAATATTATAGAAGTGAAGTACTTTACTGCTGAACTTAATGCAGGAGTAAGCTGCTTGAAAAGGCAGGTGTGAACACATCCATTTGTGTCCTTCAATTGCTAATATATTATTAGCTATACTCTGTTCAGCAACCGGAGGAAGAAGTAAGAAAGCGGAAAGGGTGTGGGAACTGAGTATTTTCATGACATCAGTACTGTGCCCATCCGTACTGAACATTTCAGAAAGATAACATCATTTTTTTAAATAGTCTGTCCAATAAAAAGAATCAGACTGTTTGTTTTATAAAAGGAAATCACATCCTCTACAGTGCCACGAGGTAGTCTCTCTGAAGTCAGCACTTAAGTCATAAACTATATTTACTTTAAAAATCATTATGGGCTAGTTTATGTGGAAATAGATTAACCATGGGCGGGTTAAATTACTCATTTGTGCCTATGGGCAGCTGACAATAGTGATTTTCCTTAGGCAAAAATCTCCCTAAGTATTATTCTCAAATATATTTTTTGTGTATCTGGTCTGCCCGCTGCACTATTCAATAACAATAAAGCAGCCTCCCTTCACCCTAATTTCAGCCTTCCTGTGTTTATGCAGGGGTGTGTGTGTGTGTGTGTGTGTGTGTGTGTGCGCGCGCGCGCTGGGGGAGAAAATATATAGTCAACTGAGTGGGGGGAGCATATCCATCCATATTTTTTTTAGCTTTTTACATTTTTATTCCATTTTTCCTTTAAAAACATTATATATAGGATTAGATTTGGGAGCGTGGGGAAACTCCCTGAGTTTATAATGGTGTCAACAAATTACTCATTAATCCCATAAGATGCTAGACTTAATTTCATAATGCACAGAACAATTCCTTTCACCATGAAATTTCAGCATTCTAAAAAAGGTGAAGGATTTAGAAAGATGAAAAGCTACTTTCATCTTATTTGAAATACTTTTGTAGCAATTACCACAACAACACAATGAAATGGTTCTGCTTTGAGGGAACTAAAATGTTACGCTCCAGGAAAGAGCAGAATATCTGAAGAATTCTTTTGATTATACAAAATCTGGATGTCCCAACAGACCTTCAGGATGATAATTCATTTATTGCTCATTACTTTATCCCACCCTTTTTATTTTATTTATTTATTTAATTTCTATACTGCTTTATATTTTTAAGAAAAATCTCAAAGCAGTTTATAGCATATTAAATCAAGATCCTTCTTCCAAGATGCTAATATATGGTTATCTTACATTATCTGTAGGTTAGGCTGTGAAAGAGTGACTTAAGTGGGCAGTGCTATGGCAAGGTCTGCCGGGATAAGCACCTTAGGATGCAACTGATACCTGGCTCAGCCAGCATTGAGGCCCCCATGTTGGTTCAGCAGATGATTCACTGGTGTAACTTGTTCATCTGGCTGCGCTGAAGCCAGTGTAAGTCCCCCCAAAAGGGGTATTCTGAGGCAGGACCAGAGAGTGGGGACTTAGGCTGCTTACCTTGTTCAGCTCAGTCATGTGACCTGGCAACTTGGCATAGGCACTATTTTCAAAGCTTGTTTTCCGTCTACAAGGCTTATAAGCAAAGCAACAGCAGCCCCACTGCTAAATGAGATTTGGACCTGGTGTAATGTTACATTGCCTTACCCAAAGGAAGTGAATGAGCTTCATGCTGAATGTTTGAAGCCTGGTATCCCAGGGGAAGTCTTAACATTGGTCCATTAGGCTACACAACAAAGAGGACTTACTTGCTACTCAATGTAAACTGATAATAATAAGTTTTATTTCATTAAGTGCTTTTGATCTCAGGGTTAAAAGATAACTAAGTTTTACTCAGACCCATTTAACTAAGTTAATCATGTTCATCATTTTTGGAGTAGGAATAGTATTAAATACAACCCAGTGACAATACTTATTTACTGTTTCATGCCACAGAGCGAACAAGAACTGCGCATTTAATATATATAGAGAGAGAGTGCCAAAGGTTTGGTAAGCAGCTGAAGGTATCAGCCTTAGAAAAATGAATGGGTAGAACAGTTTAAGCAGCACCTACGACATAAATGTAGACTGGTAATTTTTTTCTAGAGATATTTATACTCTTTATTTTTTCTTCATGTTGCTTTACAAAACTTATCCCCCATTTCCTCATATTGTGAAAGACATGAATATATGCAAAGCAGAGAGTGGGTGAGGCTGTAAGACAAAAAAAAAAAATACCCTGCTTTCATACCTTGCCTTGCTTTGGATGATGCAACAGTTCTTCAGAAAGGGAGTAACAACAATTATTTTGGCAGGATTGCCAAGAATGTGGTTGTCATGCCAGTCCCTATGTCAAGGAATTGAATTTGACCTCATCAGTTATACTGCTTTCTATCCTAAGTAGGCAAATCCAACTAATCAGATTACTCCTTATCTGTTAGCTAACATAAATGCATAAGAAAGATAAACACATGAGAAGAACAATGTTGGATTTGTACTTCCTGCTTTTCTCCCACTGTCATAGCAAAATTCTGACCAGTTTCTGAGACATCACTAATGAGAAGCTATGTACTAGAAAATGAAATCTTACAACAAAAGGCTAAGAAGGGTACTAAAAGTGGTATACAGAGTGTGGAAAGAGGGAATAAAGAATCTTCTGTTATACATACAGGGATTGGCAAGAAACTTGAGATAGACAAACAGAAGTACACCAATGGTGGGTCCAACAGTCAAGAAGGTGGTTTCTGCATGTGCTTCAGAGGGAAGTGGGGGGCGGACGGGACACATCAACCTCATCAACCATCTAGAAGGAAAACTCAGTTCCTAAACCTCCACTGCCTTATGAAATATATTTAGGAGAAGAAAAGGTTAAAGAGTAAACACTACAGAAATATGTAGTCTAAGACAGTTGGAGGGTGCCTTGTACGCCGCCTTCTGACAACTCCTGCAGCCAAGTTGATACAAAACACTGCTCTGCTTTCCTTTAGACCATTATCAGCATGACCAAGATGGGGGTCTTATTGTCTAGGCAGCACAGGACCTCTTGAGACAGATGGATGTCAGATTGTGTGCATATGTTTGCAGGGGTAGTGCTTGTGGATGGATAGTGGCAGTCAGAATTGCCCAATCCTCTTCTAAGCCAAACTAATGAAGAGAACAGGAGAATTACAAAAACTTTACATACTTGCTTCATTGAAACCATAGCAGTAGCCGGGCCGTACCAGGCCTGGGTGGGCCCTGTAGGGCGACTCTGTCTGGAAATGATACCAGAGTGCAATACTGTGGGGTTCACTTAGGTCCTATCTGCACTATAAATTTAAAGTAGGATGCCTTCATCTGCCCCAGATGCAAGAAAACATGTCTCTACTGCATCATACTCTACTCCAGCATAGGCAGGCGGTGCAGCCTTCCAGCACTTTGACTTCACCCCTAAGGGCACACTCCTCCATTGTCACCTTAGGCAGATGGATGCCAACAAATAACACTTTAAACAGTCATGGGATGTGTAGTTGGGAAGGGCGTTGAGAGGGGGCTCTTATTTCCCTCCGAGTGCTAATTTCCAGGGTTTCTTGGGAAGTGGGATTTATTGTTAAACTACTCTGAGAATTACAGTTTATGTGGGAATGAATTCGGGTCCCTCGAGGTCCCCCGGTCCCAACACCAGGAGCAGCTGGACACGCCCCAGCTTGGGCTGCCATGCGCGGAGCCCGTTATCTCTTCCCCTCAGGGGTCAGAGAGCAGACTCATCACGCGGCTGTTATCCGAAAGTTAGTTTCCCCTCAGTTATGGTTTCGCCCACATTTTCCACCCGCCAATCCCGAGCGCGCTCTTGCCCGCAACCTCTAACCAGCACGCGCGCGGCGGCCTTGGAGCGTTAGCTAATATCGGGAACCGATAACGGCGGAGGCGGTTCCTCGTGCGGCTCCACCCTCTCCGCCTTCCTCTCGGCAGAGCCTCTGAGGCGACGCTGCTGCTCACGCCCCTTGGCCGGAAAAGCGCACCGCCGCCTCTCCCTTCCCGTCGAGTCGTTTCCTGGGCCCGCTCCGTCGCTTTGCTTTTCAGCTGCGGAGGGAGCTGCGGCGGCGCTTTCTCTTTCTCTGACTCCGGGCTCTCTCTGTCGTGCGATGGCGCCTCTTCCTGGCTTCCCTCGCGGGGGGCGGTTTCCATCAGCGCTGCCGCTGCTGCTGCTGTTTTCCTCGCTGTCCAGAGTTCAAGGTGAGGCGGGGGGGGGGGGGGGCTTCGGTTCTTCTCTCAAATGGGAGGCGCCCCGCCTCCCTCCAGAGACGGATCATGTCCGAGGGCGAAGCAAGGCTTTTTCGGGGATGGCGAAGGCAATTCCCGCGTCCAGGGCAGGAGGGAACTAGGAGCCTGTCTGTGTTTACCTGAAGCTTGCTCTCTTACCCACGTGTTTGTTCTTATTCTGCTCCACCTTCTGCTGGTACAGCACTTCAGATATTTGGAAACAGCCGCCACGTCTCCCCTTAAATCTTTCTTTTTTTCAGGCCTTACTTCATAAGACCTTTAACTATACTGGATGCCTTACTCTTGACATGCTGCTGGGGCATATAAATAATGTGTTGCAATTCTGGACAAGCCCAGAGCTTCCCTGACCTTGCTGTGGGTCCTTTTTGCTTTCTTCTTCCTTTATCTTGTACTGTTTTCAAGAGTCAAAAGCTAATAACAGGGAGCCTCCTTGACTAATGATGTCAGTACTAAGATAGGCAGCCAGGCAGTGCTAGACACAGAGCCACATAAGATCACTGCATGCAGGGGAGGGCTCTTAAAAAAGCGACAGCCTGCCTACCTGATGCAAGAGCTTGTGTCATAAATGAGCATCCATGGTATTCACAACATACCTTGATTTGAACACTGCAGCATGCTCTATAAGCACATTGGACATGTGCTGGACAGGCCTGGCATTTGAATACTATGTGTTTGTTTCCTTTTGCTGTCTCTTTGAATACAATTTTTATAGCATGGACTTGAAGTAGTTGTGAGACAGCTACCTAACATTCCAAATGGCATTGGCAGTTACTACAAAACATGTAAATTTATTTGGTGCATTATATGTCACTAAATTTTAAGGATGTCATTCTCTTGTTGCTTCCAAAACTTCCTAAGCAGGAATAGCCAAGTATGAAGTGCTGAGGGTAAATATGTTTTTTGTACATCGCCTCACTTCCAATAAGAGGATTGTGCATTAATTCTTGAAAAGCTGAAGGCCATACTTTGGCAATAATATATGTATTTTAGGGTCAACCAAAAGGTCACAGGCAAGGTTTCAAATGAACTAGGATTTTGTTGGGGATTTGTCATGATTGCATCACAGGATTGGAGGAAGAAAACATAGATGTAAGAATTTGCAAAATTAACTAATGTTTTCATCTACTCAAGATCCTTCAAAAAAACCCAATGCTGCAATAGTTAATTGCTTACAGCTCTAGTAATTTTTTTGTGAAGAAAATAGTTCTTAATGTATGATGAAATACGTTTCTTTCTTTGTTAAAGCATTTCAGCTAGCTACTGCCTTTTTGAAAAGCATGTAATTCTTTGGCAACCTGACACTAGACTCACAAGCAGTGTGTGCAATGGGATATAAAACATGCTTCAGTGGATAGTCCCCTTCATCTTTCAGGATTTTGGCCCAGTACAGTAAGGCTGCAGTCCTATCCTCACTTATCTTCAAGCAAGCCCCACTGAAGTCAGTAGGGCTTACTTCCAGGTAGCTATGGTTATGATTGCTCTGTAAGTCTTTCTGTTGCCAGTCTTGTTCCAAGAATGCTCTGTAAATGAAATCCAGGAATCTATTAGGACTTGGCTCCCATTAGATCCCATTAGAGGAAAATGTCATAGACATTTCTTTATGAATCATCCAGTGTTCAATGCTACAATGAACCTTGACTTCACTCCATAGCTTCTAAGCTTCCTATCGATTTTTATTTCCAGGTGATTGCACCCATCTAAATGTACCTAATGCAAGTTTATGGAGGGGTGATCCAAAAGACAGTTATCCTATTGGGACTGTTTTGCAGTACCGTTGCATTCCAGGTTATGAGGCTATTCCTGGAGAGACTCTTTCTGTTACGTGTCTTGCCACTTCAAGATGGTCAACAGAAAATCCAAAGTTTTGTCAAGGTGAGTTTCACTTCCTTTGCAGAATATGTAAAACTATCGAACAGCCACCTTAGATCAGAGCAGTGGATTAGAGGAGATCCAGACACTTCAAAAAGTTAGGAAATAATACAGAAGGGTTTTCTATTGTAGTATGTTGAGGGCTTAAATTGGGAAACTAGAATATTCTAAGTATTATTCCTCCCAGTGGTGGACTTAGGTGGTGGATGCCCTTGGGACTGTAGTCACAGCGGTGCTTCTAAGAAACAAGAACAAAGAAATAGCATCCTGGGAGGAACCCCAAAGTTTGCAGAAGTACCAAATAACAACTTTTAAGAAACCAAAGAGGCAAAAATAGCCTGATGAAGACGGAACATGAACTATAATAATAATAGTAATAATAATAATAATAATAATAATAATAATTAAATAAATAAATTTTATTTATACCCCGCCCTCCCCAGCCAGAGCCGAGCTCAGGGCAGCTAACACCAATAAAATCACAGTAAAAACATAATAGGGGGAAAAGAGAGGGGGGGGGAGAAAAGAAAAAAACCCCAATTTAAAATACAGGTTAAAATGCAATTTAAAATGCAGCGTCATTTTAAAGTAGCTGATAAGGTGTTTATCAGGTGGTTGGCTAACAGCCGGGGGCGGGAACTGAATGGAGAGGATGAATTTGTTTGGTGGAGAAAGGGCCTGACTGGCTGTCTACCAACCTTCTCTTGGAAGGTGACAGAATATCACAGCATTTTGTTGTAGCTGGTCCCATTTGTTCTTTCTAATGCTGTTTCTTTCTAGTCCTTTGCACTGTTGGCCATTATATATTTTGATTCCAAAGTTCCATGCACAGAAAAGTATTTCCTTGTGTTTAAACTGAACCTGTGTTATGTTAAGCATGATGTGTCCTTCCTAGTTCTAGAATTAGATGTAATGGTAGGCTCCTGTTCTCTATTCACTGCCACATTCTGCATTCAAATGCATTTTTCTTGCATATCTCTGAAGTATTCCCTTTTAAATTTAACAATGATTACACATAGATGAGGGTTCTGCTTCAAGCAATCCAAATATATAAAAGATTAGATTGACCCAAAAAAGGCTTAAAACTGGCCTTGAGATGTCAACATGTTTGATATACTGTTCCGATTGTTAAGCCATATTAAATAACTTTTACTAGCTATAACATCTTATTTTCCAAAGCTTTGTTCATGTGACAAATTCTGTTCAAATTTATAAGGTTACTCAATTAACATACAATTTAACCAGTAGGAATTTATTGCTCCTTGTTATGTTCTGGACAACCTCTCACTCTCCAGTACCTCATATCTGTTGCTCATTTCCTTCTCTATCTGATCTTAAGTCCCTGTCTTGCCCACCTAACACACCTTAATTGGATTTTTGAGGAGGCTGTGTCATGTATTTATAGTATATGACTGTGACGTAAAGCTCAGAAAGACCAGTGTGGTGATGCAGTGCTGCAAAATTCCACCAGGGTGGTGTAGCTTGTAGGGTGCTGGACTGGAGACTCTCTCTGATTGGCTGCAGGTGCAGCTTGCCTGAGGGAGGGGGAGTCAGCACTTTGGGAGGGAAAAGGAAAGGCAGTTGAGAGTTGATGTTCCTTGTGTTCCGCTGCATAGGAGCATAACTCCTGAGCTGTGTGAGAGAGATCTGTTCTGAGGATCATATCTGTAGCCAGAGAAGGAAGTCTCTGAGCTTAGTTTGAAAGATAGTGATTAGTGCCTTTTTTAGGAGTATACAGACAAGAGAAAAACTGGGAAATTGAATAGGGGACAGGAGAAAGAGTTTTTAGGGAACGCTCTACTTGGGTCTCCATTCAGTAAGAAGCCTCAGGAATGTGATTTATAAAAAGTTGGGAAACCATGTCGAAGAACCCAAGTATTAAGACCTAAGCTGTAACATCTATACAATTAAGTTTAAGGAACTGAAGTGAAATAACTGAAAAGAAGCTGTGTGTGTGCCACCTTATATGGAAGCCTATAACATCCACTAAATTTAATATAAATATAAATAGTCTGTTTCTTGAAAGATTTCTGTCTCCTTACACATCCTTTGTTTTACCAGTTTTGTTCTGTAAAATAAAACCTTTTTTCCTATTTAATTTCTCCAAGTACCAGAGTTTTCCTCATAAAAGCAAAAAATTAACCAGTAGTTAATAGTTGGTTCACCTCAGTGACACAGCCCAAAGCTGTGATAGACATCGGCAGCAAACCAGACTTGTGGGAATGCCTGGCCTATAAGGGACTTATATCTGGCTAATTAGCACCCATTTCCAGGCCAGGAGATTCAGCAGCAGAGTGGTTGTCAAAACATCTAAGAATGATGGTAAAACCGATATACCTCTTGGCGCTGTCCTAGTGAGTCTTTGTTTTATTGTGTTTTTATATTAAATATATAGTAAGCTTCCGCGGACAACAATTAGCTGTAAATAAATAGTGAATAGAAATTGTATTAGGCAGCTGCTACAGCAACCTCTTTCCTAAGACGTTTAAACTAGACCTGAAGGTTGAACTAGCTTCTTTAGCTGGATGCTTTAGCTGAGATTCCTGCATTGCAGGAGGTTCGACTAGATGACCCTTGGAGTCCCTTCCAACTCTACAATTCTATGAGTCTTACGATCATGATGGTGAGAGGTGTCAGCAGTGACAGCTGTTTTCCTGAAGCGGGTGGGAAGGATCTTGTGTATTTAGCATTTTGGAGGTCCTCAACCTAAAATAATGACTAGATGCTGCCCCAGCCTGATTTTTCCCCCACCATGGCTCGAGATGTAAAATTTCTGAAAAGTTGAAGGAATTGGGGGGGAGGTGACATTCTAGGCATGAGGTGGACCGACTGGAAAATATGCACAATATTTTCTTATTGGATCTGACTTCATTATTTTAAGAATATAAGTGCACAATAGCCTAGCAGGCACACAAAACTACTGTACTTAAAAGTACTGTACTTAACTGCCCTGTCATATTCGTATGAAGGCTGGTAGATCAATTTAATTACTTAATTAAAGTATAACTGTTAAATTTATTTGAACAAAATACCTTAGTTTTAACCAGTTGAGATAAACACAAGGGTGTGAAAGCAGTATTACAACTTTGTAGTAAAAAAAAGAGAATTTTTAATTATTTCAGCTGTCTTCTTTTTTGATACTAGACAGTGTCAGCACTAACAAAACTTAGAACATCTATTTGCCAGAGGTGACAAAAGGATAAGTGTACAATAAGGGAAGAAATGATCTTTCAGCTGCTTTCAACCCATGACGGAGAAAAGAAAGAACCCTAAAGGCCGGATGCAGCCAACAGATGACCTCATTATGAAAAACCAATAAAACTGGATACCTGTTAGAGAAGATAGTATTTTCAAGAGCGTTTCCAGACTGTCTCTATTTTGCAGGTGGGATCCAATCTAATACCCACAAATTCAGACAGCACAGTGTATTTGGTGCCTTTGTGCAGCAAACCTGCTGCTTTTAAAAAATAGGCTTCTTGCAGTAAAGTGTGTGACAGGGAAATGCACTGAAGATTGTGGTATAACAGTTTTTTGACACAATGTTGTATAACCTCTCTACACACAAAAAAAGCATGAATGCTCTAACAGGTCATCTGGAAATGACCTTGATTCCTGTAGTGTTGTTGGCATCCATCTGTCTCAAGAGATGTGAGCAGCACCCAAATGACCTCCTAGGGATGCAAGCTTGGATGGTGTGTAAGGATGTGCTGGGCAGCCCAGACCACAAGACTCCCACTTTTGGCCTCATTTTTTTGTAATTTATTTTTTATTAAATTTCCCATCCCCCCCCCAATTACATTATAACATATATCAACCTCAACCTCCTTTTTCTAGTTTATTTTCAATATCAAATCCTGCTTATTTCCTTTCCATTCATTTTTTTATATTTAATCTTATAATTTATATAAATTTTGTTATTTGTAAATGTTTACTCAAAACCTGCTAATGAGTCCAATTCTTTGAATTGTTTCTGTAGATAAACCGAAAATGGTTCCCAATCTTTAAAGGATTTTTTTGTCCTTATTTCTTAGTCTGTCAGTTTTGCCATTTCGGCATATTCTGTAAGTCTTTCTTGCCATTCTTCTTTCGTTGGTATTTTATTGCTTTTCCATATTTGTGCCAATAACATCCTTGACGCAGTTGTAGCATACATAAAAAGTCTATGTTTCCCCTTTGGCAAATCTTGACCTAAAATTCCTAGCAAAAAGGCTTCTGGGGTTTCAACAAAAGTTACCTTAAACATTTTTTTATTTCATTATACTGTATATCATTTCCCAATAATTTTTAACTATTTTACAGTTCCACCATAAATGATTAAATGTGCCTTCCTTCTCTTTACACTTCCAACACTTATTGGAGCTTGGTCTATACATTTCTGCCATTTTCATTGGTGTAATATACCAACGGTACATCATTTTAATATAATTCTCTTTTAATAATATACAGTCAGTAAATTTCAAATTTACTCTCTATAATTTCTCCTATTTCTCTAATTGTATCTTGTGTCCACTTAATCATTGTGGATTTCACCTCCTAATCTTTGGTCTCCCATTCTAATAAAATACTATACATCTTTTTTTAATAGTTTAAAATTTTCATCTACAATTTCTTTCTGGAATCTAGATACTGTATATCAAAAACTTTTCTTGTTATCTTCTTTAAATATCTCATTTAATTTTTGATATTGCAACCAATCTTGAACATGTTCTCTTATTTCATCAAAATCTTTAAGTTTCAATTTTCCTTCTTTCTCCTCTAACAACTCCTATATGTAGGCCAGACTTTTCCCTCTATTTATTTTTTTGCCTATTATTTCTATTGGCCCACTTTTGGCCTCGTTAATGTGGTCCAAAGGAAAGTGGAGCAATTTGTTTGGCATCAGCTTGGCTGCAGGAGGCTTACAAGGTGCCATCCAACTGTCTTAGGGACTCTGCTCTATATAGGGTTTACTCCTTAACCTTTTCTTCTCCTAAAGATATCCTGCAATGCAGCGGAGGTTTAGGATCAGAGCTTTCCTTCTCCTAGATGGGCTACCTTCCAAGGTTGAGGAGCCCCATCTGTCCCTAATCTGTCTATAGGATACCCTTTTTTAAAAAAAAATTAATGAATCAAGGTTGCATGTGCTAATGCTTGTTCTGATTTTTCTTTTAGGAAGGCTATGTCCTGCTATAACTCTTGAGAATGGCAGAATAATAAAAGCAACAGACCTGCGACTAGGTGATGAAATAACTCTAGGCTGTAATGAGGGGTGAGTTTTAAGCCAACGTTTGTAACACCTTGCTTTGTTTAAAACTCCTGGGAGGAGTTGGTGACAGACACATATTAACTGCTACCATATTAAGCATTACTGTACTCTTAAAAATCTGCTCTATCTTATAATTATAATCATGGGTGTCCACAGAGAGGGTATGGAGGGGAGTAAATGCTCCAAATAAATTAATAAAGAGGGAACAGATCTACTGTTTCTGGTTGATTTTACTACCTAAGCAGTGGCAATTTGTATTCAGATTTTTCATTTTGTTTCCAGGCAGCCCTCTGTTTATGCACATTCAATATGGGAGCAACTGTGTATATGCACATTGCGCCAAACCTGGAAGTGACCTGCAAAAACATCATAAAGATGTCACTGAAACATCATGGGGTGGAGCAGGGTGTTTGCAGGTTTTTTCCAATGGGTTTTAATTAAACATGATTTAACCAGCATGCACAGTGCTTTGGAACGTAACCCCGGTTAAACAGGGCTGCCCATAATTCTCATTTGGCAGAACAGCTGTCTTTCTATGGTTGGACGGCATCTGAATGTCTTTCCAATCACTACTGAAATCCTCAATTCTTTCCCTGTTTCCATTTGCTCCTTGCAGCCCTTAAGTGATTGCACTGCTGCTACAAGCCACTTCACAGCTCATTTCACAGAAAAACAATATGCCAGAATAGCACCATTACCATTAGATAATAATAATAATAATAATAATAATAATAATAATAAATTTATTATTAGACTACACTTCAGGGTTGTCATGTATTACTTTAACTTCTCCCTTTCTCCAGCAAAATAGCAAAATAGAATATTTAGATATAAGAATATCGTTCCAATTTTTAGTATATGTGCTGCCGATCCTGAATGTGATCTGTAAACTTTATACAAAACATCTATGCCTAAAATTATGGGAATGGTTAGATCATAATAACTTGCTAGAAATTGAACAAGCAGGGTTTACATCCGGACGTTCCACCATTGATCACTGCTTAGTGTTAGATTACTTTGTCTATAAGTATGCGAAATATTGGAAAAAGTCATTATATGCGGCCTTTGTGGACTTAAAGGCAGCATTTGATTCTGTATCCAGGAGCAGGCTCTGGGCCAAATTGGCCAATATGGGTATTAACAGAAGGTTATTACTTCTGATGATTAAGCTTCATGAGAACAATACCCTCCAGATAAGACTTGCACAGGACGGCAGACTCTCTAGAGAAATCCTAGTTCAAAGAGGAGTTAGACAAGGATGCCTATTAGCCCCATTCCTATTTAATATCTATGTTAACTCCCTGGTTACATGCTGTCGTGAAATTGAAACCCACCCCCCTGTGTTCTCTAATGGCAGAAAAGTACCAATTTTAATGTATGCGGATGACGCTGTTCTTCTCTCTCAAACCAAAGTGGGTCTGAAACGTGCCTTAGGAAAGTTTAGTGACCAATGTAACACTGAACTGTTAACAATTAACTTTGCCAAAACCAAAATTGTACATTTTAACCGCTCCTCTAGGAAGGATAATTGGAGCGTAAAGGGAACGCCATTGAACAGACTAAGACCTTCCAATACTTAGGCATTACTTTCTCTTATAATGCCAAATTCTCAACACACTTGACCACATCAGCTATATCAGCAGAAAGAAGTGCAAATGCTATCCTTAGATTATTCAGAAGGAAAGGAGCTGGCTTCCTCCCGATGGCCCTAACAGTCTTTCAGGCAAAATCTTTAGCCCAACTTCTATATGGCTCTCAAATTAGCCCCTCTGCCAACCTTAAGACCCTTGAAACAGTACAATCTAAATTCTTAAGATCATTATTTGCTACTCCTAAGTGCACACCTAATGCAGTCTTAAGGCAAGAGGCAGGACTGCCCAGAGTGGAATTAAAAGTCTGGGAACAAGCAATATCCCTCTGGCTGAAAATCCATTACAATCCTAAGGGTCTATTACCTTGCTTCCTGGCCGCAGTTCCCTATCCTCCTTGGCTTATGCAAATAACTAACAAGATCAAACAAATTGGCCTAAACCCTGAAAATATTTTTATTGGAACTCTGAACAAGGCAAAAGCTACTATCACTCGGAGACTTTATGATATCGAATTACAACAAGAAGGCGCCCTACTCCCAGAGACGTATAGATGTTTAAAAGCTTGGCCTAATTTTGCAGCTGCCCCTTACTTAACTAACATCACTAACGAAACCTATAGATGGGCTTTCTCTAGAGCCCGCTTTGAGACAATGCCCTCAGCAGTGCTGTACGGCAAATTCACGCGAGTTCCAATGCATGCGCGTCTCTGCCCTTGTATGTCTAATAAGGTAGAATCTGTCACACACATTCTTCTATCTTGCGAATTCTATAGTGAAGAACGAGTTCAACTTATTTTACTGCTTCTATCAAAATTTATACCCCTTCAATATTATTTGGAATCCTCCCTGAAATTCTTCGAAAATACCTCCTGGAAGACTCCTCAAGCTTAGTATCATATGAGGTGGCTAAATTTTGCACTTTAGTAATTAAGAAGCGTAAATCTCTTCTGTTGAATGGCACACTGTGAAGTTCTCTTGTGTAACCTTTTTTCTTTTCTGAAGTTGTTGCTGATTTTTTGTTGTCTGATCTTATGGTGTCTAGTGTTACTGGCTTTGGCCGCAATAAACTTGAACTTGATATAAGAATATGTTGCAGGGCTTGTTTAACCCACACTTGCAGTCACAGTCCTGCCCCTTGCAATATGGTAAAATAATGATGGGTTTTACAGATAGTTGTGTTGGTAATGTGATTTTTTTTAATGGTAATCAAAGGTGGGGACTCGCATAGTTTTAATGAAATACTACATGTTTAAAAGATAATGAATTCCTGCCTTTACTGCTCCCCTTTGTTTTTAAGGTGACATTCCACTCCCCATCATAGCGCAGTGCAAAACCCTCATTAGATACCTGAATTGCATTTCAAGTAGTCCATATTGACCTGAGGAAGTGCACTATAATCAAATTAGAAAGCCCAGGCTCTCTTATGAAAGCACTACAGCCTATCATCCAAGCTATCAAGGTTTTTATGTTGGTATGACTTTATCTGGGCACTCTTTTTAAAAAAAGAAATAATTCTGTATTGTAAAGTGAAGTGAATTGCTAGGTTGTTTCAACTTAGACTGACAGCAACCAGAGACAAGATTTTTCAGTTGCAGTACCCCATCTATGGAATCCTCTCTTCAGGAAACTTCTCCTGACCATATTTTTGTAACATTTCAGCAACAACAGAGACTTTTTACTTGGACTTATTACTTGAACAGATTTTAATACTACTGCTGTTAATATTCGTACTGCTGTGTTGTTTCTTTCTGCTTTTGTACTGGTGGTGGTTGGTTCCATTATTTTCTTTTTGTGTCAACTAGCAGAATTGTGACACTGTAGGGGAGAGTATAGTCTAAAGGTATATGTACTGGCTAAGATATATCCTCTATCTGCACACATACACCCTTTGCACTAAAATATAAGGTTTCTCTTTCCCTTTAGGTACAGAATAATAGGCCAAAAGACTCTTCGATGTTCCCTTATAGACAGCAAAGTTGTTTGGAATAGAGATCTTCCACTTTGCCAACGTAAGATGATTTGTTAATTCTAGCTTATTAAGGTTAATCTCAATGTGTTATAGTGTGGCTCTGTTTATTGCAAGTGTGCAAGTGTCCTCAACCAATATGTAAACTCAGGATACTTTCTGATCTTGTTCCAGATACTCACCATAATTGTTGTTTCCAACCAGCTGGCTGTATTTCTAGCTTTCCCCAGAGCAGGAAATTTGTGCAATGAAATAACATGTGTTAGTTGACAAAATCACATGTTACTGGGAATTCATGAAATTGGTATTAGAGGAGAGAGGAGTTAGACACATAAGATATTAGAGCAGGGAACCTCTGCCATTCCTTGCAAATGGGTATGTTTAATCAAGAACCCTACACAGCCTGTTCATTAAGCAACTTTTCAGTGTTCCTAGAAACAGAAAGGATTTGTCCCTCTCAATCTACTATTTAAGTTTTAGTGGAAGTAATGGAAGCAACTTTGCTTCATTATCATTATTCAGAGAGGATCTGAGGGAATAAAGCAGTGTATATAGAACATCCACACATTGGTGAAAGGGGTTAGTTTGAGGACCTCCAGAAGATCCTCTTCTCTGTGGTGATCTTGTATAGGGAGGTAGAGAACCATCCCTGGAGGAAAAGTGGGATAAAAATATAATAATAATAATAATAATAATAATAATAATAATAATAATAATTTATTATTTATTATTTATACCCCGCCCATCTGGCTGAGTTTCCCCAGCCACTCTGGGCGGCTCCCAATCAAGTATTAAAAACAATACAGCGTTAAATATTAAAAACTTCCCTGAACAGGGCTGCTTTAAGCAGATTAAAGAAGTAAAAAATTATTAGACTTTAACATATTCCATTTTTTTAAACCTATTTTTCTTGGGTTCACCTTTTTGCTTGGGTGTTTAAAACTTAACAATGGCCTGTGAGGAGTCTGAATTTGCGTCATTCACTGGTTGCCCCATATCATTTTGGGGGACCTATCTTCTTCTGGAGTTAGTATTCCACATGTGTGTGGATTGAGGAGGAATTGGCCGGATTATGTACCTTGATTACTGGAAGCCTCCTGAAACATCATTTAACTTTTCAGCTGAAACAGTTCCTTCTTGGCAACTTTGCATAGCTTTCAAGTGGCTTTGCCGAGTAGGAATGTTCTCTCCTCCTTCCAGTGGTTTTCAGGGGTTCAGGCTTTGTTATTTCTCTGTGTTCAGCTGTGAAGACAGCCTTGTCTCCATTGACATACACGGGGAGAAATAAAGGCTGTACCCCTGGTAATAGTGAGGAAGTTGAGGATAGTGGAATCCCTATACAAGGGGCCACAAGGACCATCCTGGGGAGCGGGGGTTCCCGCTCAACTGTTTTCAGAGGACAGCTTTTATTCCCTGGTTTTACTGCCTCCATAAATTTCTATGAAGAAAATAAAGCCCACTGTAAAAATAAAAACTGGGAGGAAGTTTTCTCCATCCAGGAACTTTGGGGCAACAGAGTTCTTGGTTGTGGGTTGGCTTTCTTCTTCTTCTTCTTCTTCTTCTTCTTCTTCTTCTTCTTCTTCTTCTTCTTCTTTTGTGTGTACTATTTATCCCCGCCCCCTTTCAACAGCTTTCTTGATAACTCTTTTTTCTATAGCAGTCCCTGCTCTGAAGTTGCCATGGGGGCTTTGGTAGCTTCCCAGTTTGCTTTGGAGGTGGTGGAAATAGCTTCACAACAGCCCACTGTTTCAATGTTTGGCTGTCATCCAAAATGGATGCACATGCCTATAATAAGTATCAAATGATTACTTTATAAAATGATACATCTTTTCAGTGAAAATAAATTTAGTCCAAATATCCCCCCTAATAGGGATGCTCTTGCAATTGTAGTCTAACTGAACTGTTAATGTTGCTTCTGCTTCCCAGGAATCCCCTGTTTCCCCCCTCCTGACATTGCCAATGGCGAACACACTGGCAGAGGTTTCCTTGAGTTTGACCATGGCACAGCAATAACGTATACCTGTAACCCTACTTTCTCCCTTATTGGAAGCCCAACCATTACGTGTTCAACTGCTGCAGATGGTATAAATGGAGAGTGGCGTCCAGCTGCACCTGAATGTAAAGGTGATGGAAATTTATGCTTAGTAGCTTCCTTGTGATACGTTAATGTAAATAAAGTTCTTGCTAGAATGAGCTATATTTGTAAGCTGCTGCTGCTATTCAGCCTCTGAGGTTTTCAGTGGGATTGAGATGCAATAGCATTGCCCCCTCAATGAGTAGCTTGTTTTAACCTGAGTCATTTTGAGGGAAGCTTATGGCCTGATCCAGTCAAGGATAGCCACTATTAAGTCACATTGAAAACAAAGAAACTTAGATTTAGTTGTGAGTAATTTATTCCATTGAGGGACGCGGGTGGTGCTGTGGGTTAAACCACAGAGTCTAGGGCTTGCTGATCAGAAGGTCGGCAGTTCGAATCCCCACGACGGGGTGAGCTCCCGTTGCTCGGTCCCTGCTCCTGCCCACCTAGCAGTTCGAAAGCACATCAAAGTGCAAGTAGATAAATAGGTACCGCTCTGGCGGGAAGGTAAACGGCGTTTCTGTTCACTGCTCTGGTTCGCCAGAAGTGGCTTAGTCATGCTGGCCACATGACCCGGAAGCTGAACTCCGGCTCCCTCGGCCAATAAAGCAAGATGAGCGCCGCAACCCCAGAGTCGGTCACTACTGGACCTAATGGTCAGGGGTCCCTTTACCTTTACCTAATTTCATTCCATTAGTTTCATTTGGACTTAAGCATTACTACCTTTAGCAGGAATGGGTTGTTGTGCTCAGAGTACAATGAATAATCAAAATAATATAAATTTCCTGCAATTCTTTGCTGGGTTTTCTTCCTTTCTTTTTTTTGGCTGTCCACATTCCATGGGCTTTTTGTGTGTTATCTATACAGTGGTGCCTCGCAAGACGAAATTAATCCGTTCCGCGAGTCTCTTCGTCTTGCGGTTTTTTCGTCTTGCGAAGCGCGGCTTAGCGGCTATTAGCGGTTTAGCGGCTTTAAGAAAAAGGAAACAAACTCGCAAGAACTCGCAAGACGTTTCGTCTTGCGAATCAAGCCCATAGGGAAATTCGTCTTGCGGAACGACTCAAAAAAGGGAAAACTCTTTCATCTAGCGAGTTTTTCGTCTTGCGAGGCATTCGTCTTGCGGGGCACCACTGTACTAAACAAAAATGCTTTGAGAAGAAATCAGTAATCACTAAAATACGTAATAACCTAATGTTACCTCTTAGTATAGAGGCATAACACTATATGCTGCATTTCAGCTTCATAGAAAATGACTTGCATATGTGAGTTGCTTTTTTAAGAACAATACTCAGTAGGTAGAAATTGTCAAGTATACCTTGGTGAAATCACTTCAGCAGATGGTCTGTGAGCCAATCAATGATGTAGTCACATTGCTGAAACTAAGCAGATTTGGGTCAGATCTGGGTCAGTTCAGTGCCCAGATGGAAGGAAGGCAGGTTATAAATGTACTAAACAAATAAACATACCCTTTAACATCCAAATCTGAGGCACTGTGTAACCTGGTCCAAAGTTACAGAGGGCTTTAAATAGTTCTTAGCAATCTCTAGAAAGCCGTCCTTGAAGTGTGACCCAGACTATTTTATGGAATTGTAATAGTATAATTGCAGGGACAGTGTTACTGTTTTTAGAGGTTAGTCTTTTGAGTATTTTATCACTTTATCTGATAAAATATTTTATTTGATTTTATCACTTTAATAGTTTCTGTCTTTGAAGCAGTTTATAGACCTGTCAAATAAATAATGTAATATAATGAAGATTATATATTTTTATTCAATCAGTTACAGTGGAACCTCTACTTACGGGCATAATCCGTTCCGGAGGTCTATCCACTGGTCGAAACGGTACGCTAGAAGAAGCGTATTGTGCGCATGCGCATTTGGCGGTAGCACGCTTCTGCGCATGCGCAGACGGCAGCAGCCACTTCTGTGCACACGCAGGTGGCAGAAGCCGCTTCCGTGCATGCGCAAATCGCGGCAAATCCGGTGTGTACTTCCGGGTTTGCCGCGGATGCAACTTGGAACGTCTATGAGACGAAAGGTATGTAAGTCAAGGTTCCACTGTAGTTGTTTAAATCCACAATAAGTGGAATCCTCTTTTGTGTCCACTTTCAATTTGGAATATGCAGATTCTGTTAAAAAAAATTTTTTTTGCCAAATTTGGGTGGTTCTTGGTGGTTTGCAAGTATAAAGTCCCTGCTGCTTCTTTGGTGGAGACATTGGCCTGGTTTGCATAGAAGCCACTGTTTAACAAGTCATAAGTAAAGTGCGAATTATCTCACAGATAATAATGCAAACCATTGCTTGCTTTTCCAGTTTGCTTTCTTTTCCAGTCTCTCTTCCATTGTGTCTTTGCAGTTTGGTGAGTGTCTGAGATGGGGTGGCCAAACAAACCACAGTTAAGAAAAGGGTGCTGCACCCACATGTAATGCCTATCCACAGTTAAAACAAACTGGAGTTTAAACACAAACAACTTCAGACTGTGGTTTGCTGGCAGTAAATGAACCATAGTTAAATCATTGTGCATGGTTTAATAACCCATACGTTAATTAACAAGTATCTTTTAAAATGCTGCTCATCTCTTTTCAGTTGTCAGCTGCCGTAGACCCTCTATTGAGAATGGAGGATTGACAACTACATTTCGACCTACATATGAATATAATAATATTATAATGTATGTTTGTGAACGTGGATACACTCTGGTGGGCAGCGACAGTAGTAAATGTGGGGCTGACAACGTATGGCATCCTCCTCCTCCAAAATGTCTCAAGGGTAAGTATCACAAGGGCTCCTTGGGTGGAAAAGCGGGGTATTGTGTTGCACTTTAATGCAGAACATCCATATTTCTTTGCCTCCTCTCTTTTCTTGCAGGTATTTTCACCACTGCTGTTCCAGGTCATGGAAATACAACTTCTAACACAGGTGAATTAGAAAAAATGGGACTTCAATCTCTCAATTTTCAGTTTGTTTGTTTTTTATCTTGGGTCAACTGCTTCAGCTGCAAAGTGAAGTAAGCCATCCCGCATGATCAAATCAGGAGTTCAAAAATTTCCAAAGCATTTATATTTTATGTTTTACTTGAACAATATTTAATTATTAAAATCTTTGTAAGTGGTTTACCATAAATATACATTAACTGGGGCTGTGCCCTTATTTGTGTAGCTCGCCAGCCCTGTGTGCCTATCTTTCAGACACTACCTATCTCCCGCATGCTCCCAGCTCCTTACATTCTGCAGTGGCATCTGGTGAGGCAGTATGGGTGGGGCTTTGTTGCTTTCCTGACTTCTCAGGTCACAGCCACTTGTCAAGATCAGGTAGAGTGAGGCGCAGGTGTCTGGTGGACCTGTTTGGAGCTTGTTTCTCCAGTAAGCAGCAACCAGCCCGTGGTATTGAGAAGTGGCTTTCCCCTTGCACTACCCACTCCACATTCTTGGGTGACCGACTCACTCACTGTGTGCTAGCTTGGGCTGCCTGCTACCAATGGGCAGAAGGTCAAAATCCAGAAGCATTTTCTCTCCTTCACCCTCCCCATGTTAGCCCAGAGAAGAAAGCCTGTAGTTTTGAAATACAGGTTTCCTTCTCTCCAGAGTGGTAGCAATGTGGACCTAACAGCGGCAACTTCCTGGGCAGCTTGCTTGCTTTGCTCACTCCACCAGCCTGTTCAGACATTTCTTTCCGCCCACTGCTAGTGATGAGGGTAGTAATGGTCACGTGCTCCGCTCGCTTGAGGCTTTCCTCATCCTGTTTAAACTTGACTGCTCATGTGCACTTGGTCACCAGCCCAACAATGTACAAGTACAAATAAAGTGTTATAGAGAAGGTACAGATAAAATCAGATGTTAGAAACAAATCGGCCTATGAAAAATTCAAAATACAAATAAGATCAGCAGTTTAAAAAATATGCATGTTAACTTTCTAAAGCTTATTCCACAGACAATATCACGAGAAAAACCTGTTTGTGTGAATCTCATTAATGGCACCCCATACATAATTTTCTGACTATTAATTTTGAAGAAGGCATAAATGCATTAGTAGTCAGCACCTGAGAGTGAAAGTGAAAACTTGAAACTGGTAAACAATTTCTTTTTACTCTTATGGAATTATATTTATTATAGAAATTATGTACTGCTCCTCAAGAGAAATTTATAGGTCTGTTCGTGTGTTTGGTCATAGTGTCTTGAGCTCAAAGTACATAGATGCAGAGGGAGATAGAAATGCCTGTACAATTTAAATCATTGCTCCACCTATGTGGTTTGGTGTGCTCTGAGTAGCAACAGCTTTTCAAAGGCTTTTTTGGAGTAAATACTTTTCTCAGTCCTGATACACAGTGTCCTTTAGTTAGGAGGCTATGATGGGCCTTAAAAACAGACCAAACTGAAGGCTTTGATGCTGTAGGTTCTCAGTAATATGTAGGCTGCCTAGTAGACATTAAAGTTAAAAGCTTGCAGGCAGAAATTTGATTTTAAAATAATAAAATTGAGAACGAGTATATGGCAGGTCCCCTACAATATCAAGTTGTTGGTCTCCAGATGATGTTGGACTCATAAGTCATATCTTTTATCATGCTACTGCTGACAGAAGTTGAAGGGCCGCATTTTCTACATTCTTGCTGTAAACTAGCAGTGTAAAACCTCCAGCCCAGGGGCCTAATTAGGACTGCTAGGCCTCTCCATTGGGTTACAAGACGCTGTTGGCCAAGCCACACTCTCCTGCCCTACACTTCATCATATATGATGTGAAGGGTGGGGCAAGTAAAGATGCAGCTGGGCCAAAAAAGGGTTTGCAGCTTTGGAGGTTAACATGCTTCAGGACAAGCTTCTGCTGTTGGGCACCTGCATAGCATCGCTTGTGGCTTTTTGCAAGCCCTGAGAATCAGTTGATCAGCGGTCCTTGCAGAGAGCAGCGTGCATTGCTTTAAAGCCCCAATGATTAGCAAGTTTGACTACCTTTCACACTTGGCCTTTGAGGGGGATAAGGATCTGGCCCACTGATTGGATCCAGTTTCCCACATCTGATGTACGTAAATGAATCCTTGTGAACTGTGCTGGCTTCATTAGTGGTGGTAGCAATCTGGAAATTTCTCCCTTTCATCCCCCCCCCCTCCTTCTGCATGTCAGTGGCTGCTGCCTGGGATGCTTGCTTGCTCCACTCCTCTTACTCCGCTGGACTGCTCAAATGTTTCTCTCCTTCATTCTTTCACCCCCACCCACACACTGCTAGTAGTGGTTGCAACAGCAAGAGTTGCTTCCTTTGCTTACTTAAAATTTGATGTTAAAAACAAGCCAGCTTTTAAAAAAATCAAATTATGAAGTAGCATCAGCAGTTTTAAAATATATATACATTTTAACTTCCTAAAGCTGATTCCAAAGACTGAGACCATTGAGGAGCTGGTGTCCTGAGACCATATGGCACCCCATATGGATTTTTCTGACTCCTGATTTTGAAAGGGCATAAATGGAGAGCTGTCAGTACTTGAATGTTGATATCAGTCTCTTTACACAGCTGGTCCAGGAACGGGGGGAGGAGGAGGAGCAGGAGGAGGAGGAGGTAACACCTTGGACCCTGGAATTGGTAAACGTTTGCTTTTCACTGTTATTGGTGGGTACATTTTAAAAAGTGGGGAGTGAGCAAGAATTGAGCTTATGGATAGAACCAGAGTGGAGGAAATGGACTCTTGAAAATATTTACTGCTGATAAGTCAGCAGAGAGAGGATTAATTTTATCAGAAGAATATCATGAGGAGACTTGGGTACATGGTAGTGCAGTAGTCGTTTTGAAACACTGGAATTGCACACCATAAGGAGAACCTGCAACAGAATGTTGTGGTTTGTGGCCTTCCTTCTGAAAAGACTGCATGTTCAGAATTTAGCAAGCTATTTCCCTTAATCAGTGCATTCCATTTCCCTTGTCCTGTCCCATGTTATGTTTTTCTTTTCCAGCAGTCACTCTATTCAACAGCTACTTGGCTCCCTCAGTTCTCATTAGTCTATTTTGAAGGGTTTCCTCTTTAGGTTTTGTTTCTCCAAGCATGCCAATATCTCTGTTGTTTCACAGTGGATGTTCTGACTGCAGTTACAGTCCACACTCAATAATCTGAGTTTGCTTTTAAGAGTGATTAAGGCAAACAGGATGGTAGGAGTTCAGTGATAGTGCTAGGCAAAGCTGAAATGAAAAAATGTCATTGGGAAAGCTAATGTACAGGAAATTGTGAGAATATGTCTTGTGGAAGAAGTGGAAACATTTGTTCTATTTTATCATTAAATGTAAATTTTATAAAGAGAACAATTGTTCCTTAGGCTTTTAATGCTTCTTAGGAGCTCAGATGCCTTCTGACTGCTTAGTCAAATGTAATCCAACTCCCAAGTTCACTACTTCTTAAAAATGCTGAATTTTCCTTTGGACAGCTTCAACAGCAGACAATCACTCAGGATTTTTTGGGGGTAAATGCTTTGAGTTTTTTCTTCCGTTTAGTTCTTTGTGGGGCCTTTTGCTGGTTTGCATGCTAGAAGGTCCCTTAGGAATGCCTGGCTTTATGTGAATTGTGTAATTTATGGAATGTTTTTTCGGTGCATCAAGGCATTTCTTTTATTGTGTAGGAAATTCTGGCAAAGCTTTCCAGTTTCCTTTGCTTTTCTTTAAAATTTTCTATACTGCTTTTCATGAATTCCAAAGCCAGTCCCTCTTTTGCATAGGATCTAAACTCTCTCTTTTGCATAGGATCTACACACAGTCCAGAGACAAAGCCGCCCAAAGATGACACAGGTAAAACTGAAAGGTGGTGGTGGTAGTGACAGCAAATTAATCAGCTTGTTTTTAGATTAGCTATTGCGCTTCTATTGCAGGGTGTGGCAGCTTTTCTAACACAAGAAATTCTGAGCTGAGAATGGGAACATTCCATTTGAGAAGGCAAGGTGATGTAGGGGAGGATTTCTAGTCTTGTGAATTATTCCAGGAATGTTTCTTACTCAGTCCTTACTAATCAGCTTGTTAGGCGGTGGCAGAATGAGGAAGGAAGGATTCTGCATGTTAGACTCCAGTGACACATCTCTGTATAATCTCTGGGGCCTTGGTGTCTCTTCCTTGTAGTTCTGAAGGTGAGGGGAAAGCTCATATTTGCTGCTTAGTATCTGGAGACACTGTTTGGCAAACAAGTACCCATAAGAACATAGGAAGTTGCCTTCTACACAGACAGTTGGTCCATCTAACTCAGTAATGTCAACACTGCCTGGTAGTTCTCCAGGTTTTCAGACACAGGACATTCTGAGCTCTGCCTAGAGATGCTGGGCATCGAACCTAGAACCTTCTGCATGCAGGACAGGTGTACTACCATTTAACTGTGGCCCTTGCCCTTTAGATTTCTCTCCTTAGTATAATGTGGAAAGGATTAAGCTGGTAAAAATAGTTTGTTTTCTGAAACTGAGTATTTCTCTTGATACTTGCATATAATCCTCAACTGAATATATCACCATGGTTGGCTTGTTGTCCCATGAATTCCCAGTGCAGTTCTGGAATTAAGTTTGACTTTGATTAAATCCATTATAATTGTTCTCTTCAGTTCTATAACTCACTGTAGCTAGGCATGATGATGGCTGCACTCCAAAAGCCCAAGCAATGTGTTTCCTAGGTTTTGTGTGCTGTCCTGGTACAAGTGATTCATGGGCTGTGCCAGTGGGCTTCTTCTCATTATCAAGAAGAGGATTTCTGAGAAGGCTGTAGCATATTAAAAAAAACCCTGAAATAAGAGAATGTTGTCTTTTAGACAAATGTTGACAAACAATAACAATGGTGTTTCAACAAGCCCTGTGCTTGTTAAAGCAGAGACAGTCTCAAATGTGGTTTTGGACAAGCCCAGGGACTTAAATACCTATGCTAAGGCCCTCTGACTGGGGATTTATGCCATCCAATATATGCCCAGCCATAAGGCTTTCTAAAATGGTCATTAGGTCAATGGGCAGGGCATATCTTCAGTTTAGTTTTTGCCTCAGGGTATGAGGGTGGCCTAGGGACGCGGGTGGCGCTGTGGGTTAAACCACAGAGCCTAGGACTTGCCGATCAGAAGGTCGGCGGTTCAAATCCCCGTGACGGGGTGAGCTCCTGTTGCTCGGTCCCTGCTCCTGCCAACCTAGCAGTTCAAAAGCACGTCAAAGTGCAAGTAGATAAATAGGTACCGCTCCAGTGGAAAGGTAAACAGCATTTCCGTGTGCTGCTCTGGTTCGCCAGAAGCAGCTTAGTCATGCTGGCCACATGACCGGATGTATGCCAGCTCCCTCGGCCAATAAAGCGAGATGAGTGCCGCAACCCCAGAATCGGTCATGACTGGACCTAATAGTCAGGGGTCCCTTTACCTTTACTTTATGAGGGTGGCCTGAATATTTGGGGAGCGGGTTCATATTACCCCATTGTCATGGTCACACCATTTTCATATGACCTACTATCAGAGAGTGATGGAACCTGGAGCTTTTTCCTGAATGCTCTGGGGCATTTTGTAGCTGACAGTTCCACCGAAAGCTGACAGTTCCACCGAAGCCATGGTCTCCCAATAGAATGGTGAGATGAAATGGGTGGTGAACATGCTCACCCCCAAATTTCCTCGTCGTGGAACCAGGGTGGCTCCTTGGTAGTCTGGGGAACTTTGGGCTATGGAACAAGGTTGATGAAGACTAGAGCACAAGTGGTGCAATTCTTGCTCCAAAGCTAACCAAACACTGCTTAATGGTTGCAGTTACAGAGTCCAGAGAGAAGCATTGGAAGTGTGTTTTTGGGCTTCCTGGCACTTACGCTACAGGGTGCCACAGGAACATATTTCGTCCATAATGCTATTCAGTATCTATATGAAGCTGCTGGGAGTGGTCATTAGGGGTTGGAGCAGGCAAGGTGCCAGCACTATACTCATGACGCTCACCTCTGTTTCTCTATAACATCTGAATCAGTACTTTTATGCAGTAGTGGGATGGGTGGGGGATAATAAACATATGTTGAATCCTGTCAAGATTCAGTACTGTGAGTGAGTTGTTCCTTTGTCTGAGAAACTGATCAGTTGCCTGCCCTTGATGGGGTAGCATTCTCCCTGAAGGAGCAGGTATGCAATCAGCAGGTGCTTCTGGATCCAGCTTTGTCACTGGAGGGCCGGGTAGCTTCAGATGTGCTTTTTATCAGCTGTACTTGGTATGGCAGTTAGTTCAGAGTGCTGCAGCATGGTTGCTGACAGAAGTGACACTCTCATCTCTGCTCAGAAATCCTATTTGCTTCCCTAACTTAACCCTTATATGCCTACTCAAACTCTTTAATCTGTGGAACTGACACTGTTACAGGTGCCACATAATATTCATTCCACACCTATAATAAATCTTTTAACATGACAGCACCTATACTTTGGAACTCCCTGCCTATTAACATCAGTCGCTATACACCCTTTGGGGTCTACTTAAAACACTTTTGTTTAAGCAAGATTAATTTGGCATGTTACCTATTTTTAACTGCCTTTTATTGATAATTTTAATGTTGTTTTTTGGTAAACCACTTAAAGGTTTTATTACCACCAAAATAGTATATAATAGTATATAATAGTATATATATGTTGTGTATAAATTTATGTATATAACTACATAACTGTCTTGTGGCCTAAACTGCTAGTCTCCTCCCCTGCACTGGGGAGGACCCATTAAGCTGGTCTGCCACCCAGGACTTTTCAGTGAGAACCCCATTTCTTGGTTTTCAGCTGGATCAATTGGATTTCTTATTAATTATAATTATTTATCAGCTAGATAAATGCTTCTAATTAGTAATTAGAACATTCAGTCTTCCATTGTCTACTGGAGCAGATTATCTTCAGTTATTAGTTGAACCTTTAATAATACTTTAATGTACTATATTTTATTCAGAGTGTGCGACAGATGCAAATGCAGTGAGAGAGAGCTAGAATCTGTCACCCTCACATAACATCTAACTTTTTTCTTCTTCCATTTTAGCAACTAACCACTCCCCAGGAGTTATTATTGGTAAGTAATTACAGAATGAGGTACAATCCCTCATTGTACCAAATCCTGGAGTTCAGCAACCATTGTACTTTATTGCCTGGTGGAAATGTGTGTGTTCCTTCCTTTTTTTCTCCAGTTTGTGGTTTAAATGTTGAAGACTCCTACTTGAATAAAAAAATTGATTCTTTTGCGAGAATTCTTAGGGTGCAGACAAATATACTTTCTTCCAGGTTCTAGTGTATTTTTATTTATTTATTTCCTCCACTACCTTTGCTCCTGTAATGAACATAGCTGGCTTCAAATCCAGCACAGATTTCCTCTATGTTGTGGCTTTTAATGTTCCAGCTTCTGGGCATGCTTTAAAAATTTTTCAAGAGAAAAGGTGTTTTGAGCTGGACACATTGCTTGGGTTGAGGAGTCGCTCTCTGATTGTCATTAGGGCCGTTCAGTTTGCACAGCTAACATCTGCTAGGAACAGGAAGAACTTGTTCCTAAAACCAATCTCTGAGGAAGACTGCATATCTGCCCGAAAAGGGGTGAGTGCAGATGTACAGTGGACTTGCTGCTCAAGGTATGTATGTGTCTAGAGACTTGCTGTGTCCTGTAACACTTGAACTCATCCACATGAGTGGCTTCAATGTCCATTGAGCATTACAAGGTAGCAGCTTGTCTGGTGACTTGTTCATACTATTTCATGGGCTAATTAAAGTTGTTTAAATCTTATGTAGTTTAATAAGCCACATTTCTAGGATTCCTGGCTTCACTACGAAGTCTGATATTGGATTCAAAGTACAAATAGTGGAAACAAATGGAAGCGGTCAAACACTGAAAGCACAGCTTTTTATGTTAGTTCTTCATGTACAAAACAAACTGACAGGTTTTTCTCATTGATTTTAATAGTTTGTCTATCTTTTGTTAAGTCTGCAGTAGGATTTGGGTCCTGTTTGGGGGTTGTTGTCTCAAACCTATTTTGAAGCTACTGATGTGATTACATTTCAGTCTTTATTTAGGACTGGGGCAGTTTTTTCTTGAACAGAAAAAAACTATTACTTTGCCTTGTTAATCATTACTACAGTATATCACTGGATTTCTTCTTCTTCCCCTCAAGGATCTGTGGTGGCTGTTATATTGGGGATTTGTCTTATTGCTGCAGGTTGGAAATACAGATCTTGCTTTATAAAGGGGTGAGTCAGCTCAGGAGAAGCCATATCTAATTCTTTGTAGCTTCGTTTGTGGCGGTGTGAGCTAATATACGCTTCTTGGCTTCACTTTGCCTTCTATTCACTTACACTTTCCGTATAAATGTGCTTGGTGTTCAGAAAGGGCTTTAGTATTATTATTTATTTATTTATTTATTTATTTATTTATTTATTTATTTGGTGAACAGTTGCACTAATATGGCAGCACAGAATAAACAGTAACAACTAAAACACAATAATTTTTCTAGAACGGCTAGTCAGTATTTTATCCCATTTCCACCATTGGTGTTCTGAAGTGACAGAAATGCTCTGTCTCAATTTACCGAAGCTGTCCATCCTAATGCAGACTTGACAATGAATATTCTGGCACTAAAAATCCTGCAATCTACTATTAAATTAAGTCATCAAACACTCTGCTCTAATCTACAGATGTTGGAACCGTCAAGGGTACTTGCTGTTTGTGATTTTTACTTTCAGACACAGTAAGAAAATGGATTTGTTGAACAATCCCGCCTGAAGCCAGTAGATTTTTTCTGGAGGAATCTAGGCCGGTCCTGTAATCTAAGCCAACAATTTGCAGCAATAATTTATTCTGAACATTTATCTTGCATGACCTTTCTATTTTTGTGTCCAGGACTGTCCATTTTTGTTGTAGCATTGTATACATGATTTTACTATTTTAATATGATGCATGTATGTATGCAGACAGGTTCGCTTAAATTTGTGAACACTAATTAAGGTATTTCTGTAGATTAATACAATAATTATTTATTAGTTTTGAATATTCATTGCAATAATTTCTGTAACAGATTGTTCACATGTCTTTTAAGTCTTTAAGATATTCTGAGATTCAGTTTTGATACTAGAGAATACTGATTTTTTTGTCAAAGGCAAGAGATCTTTTGGATTCAGAGGCAGTAACAATACCAGTGGAGAGAAGTTCGGTGATTTTATTAAGTGACAGGCTAAATACAAAATACTAATCAGTGAAAAAGACTTTCAGCAGAGTAATATAACATAAGCAAGACCAGATATTTCCCCATTCATTTGTCCGGAGCCCCAGGGAGAGACCCTTTCTGGCCAACATGCAGGACCCAGCTGGTCTGGGCCTATGTCAAATCTCAAAACTTATGTTTGCATCTGGGAGATTTATGTACTCTAAATTCTTCATAGCTGTGTACTTATTGGCATAATGTCCAAAGCCCTCAAACCTGCTTTGGAAGTTGTTATTTAGAAGGCGTGAGGGATACGATAAGCAAATGGACAAGGCCAGCATAATTAACCTTGGGGTCCTGCTGTAGCTATAATACTTTTGGCAGGCGCTTGACCTTCAGACAGTGACTCCTGCCCCATTCTGCAGACACCTAACCTTGGAATAGTCAAAGCAATAAAGCAAACAATGCAGGCATGAAGGAATGATTGTACCAACCAACCTACCTCCTCAAAATACATCTTCCAGTGTGGGTTTCCCCAACACTGATATAACCTCATACTCATGATTATGGGAAATATAAATATAATTTATTGTTGGGACTGCCAACTAATTGCACCTTAATGTGCATACCAGTAGAAGGCCTAGGTGTGTAGTTCTGCACAAATACTTGTTAAGGAATTGCGGGGGGGACCCATGGCGTTGTGTTGCAATGGGTCTTAGTTTGATTTTTGAGCAACTCAAAAATCATATTATATTTACTTTGAGAATGTTTAAACCCATTAATGGCATCTTACCTGCTTGAAGCTGTTCATGTTTATAGTTTTCTATTGAATATTGAGCATCTCTGCCTCATTTTAAATGTATTGTAAAGTACAATATTCTCAAGCCTTTCCAGTGCTAAATATAGTCATCCTACTGTATGTGCTGAATAAGCTTCTCAATCTTAGTCAAACAACCTAGAGATTATTCTTTGAATAACATGTTTTGTGTTTGAAGATTCTCTTTTTAGAGCGATCTGGTGAGTTTGTAGGAAAGCGTTTTACGTTTCTTTCTCATGATTGTTAAATGTCAAACTGTGAGCAGGCATTGATTAAAGCACAGAAATGGGAAGGACATTGGAATGACCTGCGTGGGTCAGGGACACTATTCCGGCTCATGGGTTCCCTTTTCCCCAACTCACCAGTCAAATATTTTCAGCTGCTAGCATGTTTTGTCCTGAAGTCAAGAATATTTTTATGTAGACGGTAACCTGTATTTTAAAACAGTTAATCGTGGTGTTATATGACAGCAAAGGACTCTTCTTCCACAGTGTGTAGCAAATAGTGCACCCTGCCTGGGCACAGACACTTCTTAAACGTCATTTAGCAATAGCTACTCCAGCTGTGAATTATAACAATAGTCACATTTAAATACTTGAGTGTTACAGGTGTGTGAGAAAACCACCAATACTCTGTTTATTGTCGCAGGGTGACTCTCTTGTGTAAAATAAAGTGAAAATAAAGTGGTATGTGAGAAGGGTGGTGCATGTACCTGGCCTCCTGGTGTATAGTGCTGTTCCTCATCACCAACCACTCCTAGTGGAAGCATTTCAGTGAGAAATTTTATTTTGTAGGTGACATGACATCCACACAGTTATTCCCATCAACCTGTAATCGCTTTATGCAGAGAAGTAGACAAAAGTAAATTCATTCTTGTTGGTAAACAAAAGGCAGTACTCTTTGCTTACAGAAGCTCCATTGCTGACACTTGTCCAAGTTTCCCACATGGACAATGGTGCCTGTGGAATGTTGATTCAAGGGCAGATTCTACAAGGAATCTGTTAGAAGTGACCATTTTTCTATACTGTCCTTAGGCTGTCTCTCTCTCATATCTGTTGTGTTTATATAATCCTAATTCTCTTTATCTGTTTTACTTCTAATATCCTGCAGTTGTTAACAGTCCGTGTATTACTTCTGCTTCTGTAGCTTCCAGAACTAATTTTCTTTCCTAAGAAATGTAAAAGTTACTTACATTGCTTTCAAAATGTCAATAGCATGCAGTGGAATGCTGATGTATTTGTGTGTTGCTTTTTCCTTCCTGACAGGAAGACTAAACAGAATAATATAGTGATTCAAACATATCAAAATCAATCAAAAATATTTGTAACTTTTTTTTACAGAAAAGCTGACCCTTCTTCTTGTTCTGCTGAGTCTTACCGTGCAGTTGCCACTCACACAGAAGTGGGATTGGAACCCAAAGCCTCCTGACTGCAGTAGAGCTGTGCTCCAGTAAGCTTCCAGCTGATAATTAATTCCCAACAGTTCTTATTTTGAGAACTGGAAATGAGAATTGAATGAAGATCTGCATGGAAAAAGCCAAAGCAATTTTCATTAAAAACTGGGTATCCAGGTTATTCAGCTACTTGAAGCATGAAGCAGTATTGGGCCCCAAGAAAACTCTGATCATTTGCACTTATTGTTTTTGCATAGAACTGGGTTGCAACTTCCTTTGCAGAATGTGTTTTAAAGTGCCTCAATCAAATACAGAACCAAGAAGAACTTACTACAGTTTGTTTCCTAGAATCTTGTTCATCACTTGAAGGGGAGGGACAAGTAAAGCTGTTAATATTTACCAAACATTTGACTTCCACAAGCCTTTCTCATGCCTTTCTCATGAAGAATTGTAAAAGTTGTCTTGATTTCCTTACATGGTCTTAAAAAGTGTGAACAAAAGTAATACATGCCTAATTGAAAATACTCGTTTTCTTTTTGATATATTTTCATAGGCAAACAAAAACTCTGTGTACTTAACCAAAAAATCAAGGGTCATATTTACAACAGCTTAATTTCAGTGGAAACAAGTAAAATGATTCTCCTGTTAAGATCAATGTGAGTGAAAAGTGCAGTGCTTCTAATGGTTTGAACTATAGTTTGTTACAGTCATGAAGGTAACTTGTTTGTTATATGCTATTTTAAAATTTTATGTTGAATTGTGCACTTATTTTGTTTAAATTGATTAACTATGTAGTATGTATACAGAGAGAAAAATTGTTTCTCTTAGAATGTGTGCAAATAAACTAAAATATTGAATAAAAGGCACTATCATTGGTAGCTTTCTACTCCCAAGAGATAAGAGGAAACTGGTGATGCAGTGCAGCTTGTGTTGATACGGCTAATAGCACATAGCTGTTTCGAATCTGTTTCTCACCATGCAGAGATGTACAATGCAGTGAAAATAGATGTTTGTGGCAAAAACTTCCTGGTAACTTCCTTTACAGCACCCAGACAAGCATTCTGTGCGCACATTTTAACTCTGCACAAAGTTATCATGAGATGGTGCCTTGGCTATAAGTATGTGTTCTTAGCATCTCAAAGTGGGCCATGTGCTGTTCAGTGTTGCTCCTTTAATTTTGAGTGTTGAATGTGATGGACATGTGTTAACTGGCTGAGATAAAAGTACATACCTTTTTAAAAAGATCATTTGGTTATGGCAGCTACAATAAGCAATACTAAACATGGCCTTTCCTTGTAATAGTGAGACTTGCATTGTTTGTAACTAATTTCTCCATATTCCCTGCTGTGGAAAAAGGCATCTGTATAGCGGCTTGGTTAATATGTGCATTAATTGAAATGTAATTGGCAGCTGACTGTAGAAATTTATTTTAAGTTGGCGGCTTTTTTTACGTAAAAACCCTTAGAACTCAAAGTAGCTAAAGCTTTCCAGATAATTTTGGACCACAACTCCCATCAGCCTCACAAACATGAATGTTTAACTTTGAGCTTGCCTGTGGCCACCCAGTCCTTCATGCATAGTAAGTCCATGTGCCTGTGAGCCTCTAGTTTGCTCTGCTACTACAATAAAAGCAGGAATAATAGTTCTGTTATCCCCTGCAATCACTAAAGTGTGTACCATACTGGGTCCTGTCTTCTGCAGTGGTTGATTAGCAGGGGATGCAATTATATGTGTACTCTGCAGTTGCATGTGCATTGGTACTGCAAATCCCTTTCTGTGTTATGTATTTCATACATTGAGAACACTTCAGTGCAGGAAATGCTGTAAAAGGTTGCAGAAGGGAACTGCTTGCTCACATATGTGTGAACATATGCTGGGAAGCCACAACTGGCTAAAGCTTTCCAAACTGGAATGTGGACACAGGAATGGGATAAAGGAAAGAAAAACTCATGTCTGAATCCACTATCAAATTTCCTTTAATTATTTAATTGTAAATGGCATGTACCATTATTTAAGAACAGTTTCTGTCTGGTGGTGTACTTCTGTTTTGAGTAAGCTCAGTGCCTTACTTGCCAAGCAAATCCCATGAGTAGAATTTGCAGTGCAAAGCAAACAACTGAATTTATGGTAAGCAGTAAAATGCAGTGCTTACTAATCAGCTTGGAAAGTAGGCAGAAATCCCAGCCCCTGGAATCACATAGCTGTTGGTAAGAGGTGCATTTTAAGGTGCCAAATAGTAAAACATCATCCTAGCATAACTCATCCTAATCTTCCAATTTCAGTATTTCCCAGGACAATAGGGGTGCTAATTATAAAAGCCAGTGACTATGCCAGCCTTTTTGCTGTCCAAAGGCAGCAGCTCAGCCTTAATGTAATAGTTTTTTGTATCTTCTTGGAAGAAATGGAGGCTGAGCTGAGGACAGTTTTCAGCAGTGGCACTATAGTAACTGTAAAATAGGTTTGGAGGTAGGATGGCCAGAACCAGTGCATAATTTCTCAAAAGAGAATCTCATCAACTTAACCCTATTTTCTATGTTCAAACTGAAACCAGACTCTGGGCTAATGTCTGCCTGGAGCTTACACAATGCTTTTAAGTGCTGAGAAAGACTGGGAAGCCTTTTATGTAGTTCTCTGTCAAGCTTCCTTTGGGTTTTTTCTGTGAAAGCCCCATTTATTTGCCTGCTGCTGCTGCTTCCTCTTCTGCATTTATTTATATATCCCTATTAGGTTCAGCAACTTCTCATTCATTGCTGTGACCTGAGTGAGAGCTATGATGCTTGCATGCATGCTTCCCTTATTATGGGGCTTGATGGAACTTCTGGCCATTACTTTGGAAGATCAAGGTGAGAAGTTGGGAATTGGGACTCTTTATGTCTAGCTTCTGTACTTCTCCTTTCCCACCCTTTTTTGCGGGGAGAGGCTCCCTTCCCCATGGAATGTGGCAAATGTTGGTGCTGCCTGAGTTGGCAATACATTTTTGTTCCGCTTATGTTGGGAGAAAGGAGCTTAAGGAAGGGTCATCGGCAGTTAAAGGGGATTTCAAGAGGGTAGCTAATGGGGAGGGGAGGAATGGCTCCTAATCCTTGCTTTATATTGTTTGTTTGTTGGTTGGCATCCAACTGTCTCAGAAGACAATGGAGGAGTGTGCCTTTGGGAGTGAAGTCAAACCATTGGAAGGCTACAGTGCTTATTGTAGCTGTAGAGACTGATACAGGAGAGACAGGTTGTGTTGCAGCTGGGGCAGATGAAGGTGTCCAGTTGTTGTGCTGCTGCTGCAGCAGCAGCTACACCATGGCATTTCTTCTCTCCTAACTCCTCCCAACGGTCATTCTTCCACCGGTCACTGCTATGGATGCACAACCTGACTGTGTGTCTCCAGCACTGTGGTCATCTGCAAGGGATTCCCACGAGGGGCTGATGTTGCCTGCCTTCATGTCATATTTGTAACACAGAGCTGGTCTGCCAACAGGCCTGGTACCTGAAGTCAGCTCCCTGTAGAGCATGTCCTTCAGGTTTCCTGCCATCTTCCATTCCATGTTCATGACTAAGCCAGCAAGGATGTCGCTGAGAGAGCAGTGTGAACATACTGTGTCTGTGGGCTTGGAAAAGCACATCTTGAGACTCTGTTGTGCAATGTGATGCTTATGCCTAGTGCAAAAGTTCAGTCTGTTTAGGGGGTAGACTCAGATTTATTGGGTCATGTCCAGCATCTCCTCTTGGCCTCATTCAAATGAAAACTTCTGATTCACTTTATGCATCTTCCAGCCTTTCTAGTCCATTGTGACTGCAAAGTTAAACCTGGGAAACTCAACCCCAGATTGGTATAATTCTGCTTGTAGGAGCATAGGAAGATGCTTTATACTCTATAGACCAATGGACCCTCTTGCTCAGTATTGTTTACACTGACTGGAAGTGGCTATGCAGATATCAGGCAGGAGTGTGTCTTATCTAACTTTTCCAGGGGTCTGAGAATGGCAATGGTACAGTATGTTTAAACTATGAGAACTGTGGGGACATGGATTACTATATATCAGTGCTATTTTTCTAGAAAAAGAGGTGCCAGAACTCACACTTGATTTTTTTCTAATGGCATTGTCACCCACTTGAGAGGTGCCGAAACTGAGTTCTGGCTAACCCCCCCTCCCCCGCTTTATATCCTTTTTAAAGTGTATTTTAAGTGCCTTAAGACCTCAGGTTAGAACAAGGTATAAATCTTTCTAGGCAGACCCAAGCCCACAGTGTTAGAAGGAAAAATGAAGGACACACAAGGGAAACACAGCAAGTGAAAGCAATTTTTAGAAATGAAATCACTACATATTTAAAGTTTACTTTCATGTAAACAGCTGCAATAATACGAATAGGATGATAAAACCAGTTGGCTCATGGTTGAAGGAAAGGGTTTTGTTTATATAAAAGGGAGTTAGATTAATCTAGTTAGATTAGTCTAGTTACATTAGTCAGGTTTAAGAGCAAGAGCTGACATTCTATGGCTTTTAAAAATAGTGAGAGAGTCTAATGTTTGGATGATCCCCCTCACATGTTCACCAAGTACATGAGGAGAGTGGGACGATGCCTGCTACTGACACATCCCAAATCTAATGCTGTCTGTGGTCAGACCCTTCTGGTTGTATGTGCATGGTACTGTGTGTCTGTCCATAGGGTTCTTCTGCACAATCAAGAAACCTGGAACAGTCAAGGTTTCTGGTTACATTGAAGAGACATACATGCTTACATTTAGCATTAATGCCAAACACACAGCCACCACAGCATGTAGCCTTTAGTAACACTGGTATTTTAAGGTGTGGCCAGGTTGGTACAATTATGCTTCTTTTATTCTTCTTTTTACAATTGTGCTTCTTCAGTGAATGAATGAAGAGAGTCAGTTGAATACTCCTATAAATCCATTACATAAAATAGCAAGAGGAAGTTTCTGAAGGAAGAAACTGCAAAATATTAAACTTCCTCAGTGGCTTCTTGTAAATAAACAATTTTTAAAAGTCCCATTTGATTACCAACTTTTGTATTAGAAAGTGGGCGGAGCGGGAGACCTGTCTAATAAAACAATGCACATAATATATGGCAATCTTATTTAGGATGGTCCTCATTAATCAATGGATTATGTATAAATATTTCACTATGTGTCCTAGACACTATTATTAGCAGTGCATAAGTGCTAATAATAGCTTTCTTTATTGTGCTAGCTGATGTAAAATTGCAATACATATGCTGTCTGATGTAAAGTCTCAATATTTATCTGTTAAGTTTGTTTATCTCCCTCCCTCCCAAAGATGCAAGGACAACTAACAAACAACATATCCAACAATAACAAAAAGATTTCTAAAGACAGTTTTAAAATCTACCATGCCTAAATGTTTTTGTCAGCTTCCAAAGGCCTGAACAATAAAATGTATTTAAATTCTTCTTGAACATGACCAGGGAAGGGAACTGTCTGATCTTTCCTGGGAGAGAATTCTTGTTATTATACCAAAAAAATGGGGTGTTTTGCAGCTCAACTCCCAATCAAGAGACCCAGTATCCTTTATGTCTATCATCATCATCATCATCAACATCATCAACAACAACAACAGACACTACAGAAAATTGCCCAACCCCTTAGCCAAAGACCACCCAAAATCATCATACATGCTTTACAGAAAAAGGTCTACAATAGAAATTTGAGAGTATGACTTGTCTCCTGTTGGTCAAGGTACCTGACAATACCTAATTGTCTCTCCTGGCCCCAATAGGAATTTTCACCTATTTGTAGGTATATGTTCTTT